AGAATCAAACTTCACTATATGATCATACTAAGGACTAGTTGACCCTGTTTTTATATAATAAGAGGTAGTATCTGGAACTGGGATCCAACAGCTCATACGACAGCTGGGTTCTGCAATTACTTGCTTCAGTTTGAAAAGAGTACAGAGCTGCAGTCAACAATAACGTGTATGTAATGTAATCGTCCATGATATTTGGGAGGAGTGGCAAAGTCATGGGCACAATTTTGTTCATATTTATTTCCATTCAATTATGGCGTTTGGTCTAATTGGATGTGACTAATGCATGTACATAGAGAAGAACAGAGAAGAGAGAGACTTGTCACGTAAATACGGCGTCGAGTACGGCTTCGATGCAGGATGTAAATGCGGTGATTAATGCCCTGAGGTGAGAAGAAGAGGAAGGACGAGTTCTGGCGGGAGCGGCCATTGCTGCCGGAGATGGAGGTTTTCCTTTTCCAACTGAAGAGGAGGTTGGGCAGTTGGCGGGAGTAAGGGAAAGAGGCCCAGTTGAGGGGACATGGATTCCTTTCCCTTTACAATCAAAGCCCATTATGAAATGTTAACTGTTGTGGATAATGGGCTCGGGCTGTATTAAGTCATTTTACGGCCCATTTTCTAACAATTTGTGTCAGAACTCAGAAAGACTACACAAGTGGATGCCAAACCAAATAAATAATTTATCCTTATTTGCTAAACAGTTCAATTTTATTCTTATTTCTATTTGTACATTATAAAATCATTTAAGTATTGTCACGTCTTTTTCGCAAAATTGCTATGGCCCCCAATGCATAATTTTAACGTAGGCTTATGAGAAATAATTTGTAACACCCTAGACCGGTCGGTGACTAATTTTACCAAAATACCCTTGTTATTAGTCGAATAATACATGCATAAAAGTCCCATAAACATCATTCAAAAATACAAGGAAAAATCCATCTTAAAATAGTATTCAAACATAATCCTCATTAAGTCTCAAGTCCACCAACAATGCATAAACTTAAACAAGTTCCGCTGGAAGCTCTTCGGGCCACTAACCCTTGTGATGACATCTTGGGCAGCAGCTATGTTCCTGCGATTGATCTGGGTGCTCCTGGTTTCCTGCAGCTCCTGAGTGCGGGCGTTGGGGTCAGTCCTAATCCTAGTTTTGCTTTAATGTTGAAAACTCTTAATAACAACACTGGAATAAATAAATATACTCATGCAATGCTTCATGCTTAAATTTAGTATTCTTATTACTCGTTGTGAAAGGGGGCCCCGAACTCGACTCAACTAGCACACTAACGGCCACCAAACGTAAACTTCCACCTGATGGGAAGATATAACATGGGTGTAACTTCCACCTGACGGGAAGTAACACAATTATAACATGAATGTTAACTTCCACCTGGCGGGAAGTAACATAATCCTGAACTTGACTTCCACCTGACGGGAAGTAGGGTAGCCGCGTGCACTAGTCAAGTGAGTAGTTAAAAACATGTTCTTACTTGATAACTTGGTAACATGGAACGTAAGTCCATACTCTTGCTCAAAACATAACTTCATGATGGAATGCAATGACATGCTTACTAACATAAATACACTTACCGTGGACATACATATAGAGCACAACTTAATTAAATAACATAATTAGATAAATTAAAGCGAAATACTAACTAGCCCCTCAAACCACGCACCTTATTAATTCAAGAAGTTACAACGTGAAGGTTGGGGCCCTTGACCTGGTTGATTTGCCTCTTGGTCCTATGGTGAAATTCGAAGTTAGATTGGTTGAGTTTTGGGTTCTTAGCGACGACTTTCTCGACTTGAAAATACTTTGCAAGATGTGCAAAGTATGGTATACTAATGTACCAATTAATCTAACATATTAGAATCATAATTCTTTACATATAATATTTAAGGTCTTAATCAATCTTAATCATTGGTAACTAATTGTGCTACAATAACTTACGTGGGTTAACTACCAGATTATACTAATCAATTTACCAAACTAGATAACACATTATTTACCCATTAGCTAATCCTATTAATTCATTCATCACGTGCTATTAACATTAATCATATTATTTGGGTAACGAAAACTGAGGAATTATTACTAATTATCTTGATTTCTACTTCAAGTTTAACTTGCAATATTATGAGATTTTAACGAATAAAACGACCATTTGACAAAATTTGAGGATCTATTCTGCAAACAAGCTTAACTATGTGGATTTACTTGCAATGAATTGAAATGCTCTGCAGTATCTTTAGCAACCGTCAGATCGGCAGTTACTAAAGCTCTAAGAGTTCGTCACTAAAAACCTGTAAAACCGTCGCTAAATTTCCAGAATTTGACAAGCTCGTATTACTCGCATAAACATGAATTTTAATGCGAGGAGTTGGGTTTTCTTACCTCGTATGCGTGCCTAGATCTAGATTTGAGTCGCTAGAGTCGTTGTTTCCTTGATTCAATCGTCGTTCTATCACCCGGAGATTTCCGTCCTCGCCGTCGCCATCAAGAATACGGTTCACAACCGTCGAGTTGGTTAGCTATTGATGGATTTGATTTTAGAACTGAGATGGTTTCGTGATCCTTACCTAATGGACGTGAGACGATGAACTAGGGTCGTGGGGAGCGGCGACGCCGTACGGGGAAAGGATCGGGCAACTTTTAACGTGGTTTCCGGCGTGCGTGTTGGCGACTTGAGTGGTGTCGTTGGTTGTAGTTTCCAGGTGTTCGTCTACTTGGATCAAGAGCAAGGAGTGGTATAATAGTTGTGGTGATTGGAGGGTCGGATCGGTGGTGGTTTGTGTGATGCGATGATGGACAAGGTTGATGGTGAGGGATGTACGAGATGAGAATTTTGAGGGAGCAGCAGTGATATGAATAGCCGAGAGATGCACTGGGAAGTAGGATGCTTTATGGATGAGAGCCTAAGTGACTTATGGAAGCAAGAGGGGGTTGATTTCAGGAGGGAGCACCGACACTGCAACTCCATTCCTTGTATTAATTTGCCAGCTCATTTTGGGTTGCATGAGTATGGGTGTTACATAATTCATGGACGTTTGTCAAAAAGAGAAAAAAAATTAGTTATTGTTCTTTTTAATTGTTTATGCGTACAATTACATTCGGCTTGTGCAGAAAAGAGATACCTTCTCCCGCTTTCAAATGGATAAATTTTTCATAGGTCAATATTAAAAACAAAATTAGTATCGTTTTCGCATTTCTTTTATGGTCGGTTTCTCTAAAGTAAACTCATACCTAAGTGAATTAATCTTATATAAGAATAATAAATTACTTTGAAATTGTAAAATTTAAAATGTCAATAGATTGTATGTTAGCATTAGTAGGGATGGCAACAAAACCCGAACCCACGGGTACCCACCCGACCCAACCCGGTCAACGCGGGTAAAATCCGTGTTGACGGGTTTTGGGCCGGGTTTGGGTTTAAACCCGTTCACTATTCAACGGGTTGGGTTGGGTTTGGGTTTAGGTAAATCCGGCCCGTGGGTACCCGCCCACCCATATAATTAATTTTTTAGGTATATTTAATATTCTAAACAACTAATCTTATTTATGTTTGTGGAGACATGTCTAATTTTTTCTTTTTAATTGTGTAGAATCAAGTTGATGTTATGGAGTGGAGAGTAAAGAAACTTAATTGAAAGGAAGAAACTTTCAATTAAACATGTTATTTATGGAAAATTTGTGATTTGCTTCAATTTTTTTGAGTTTTCTAGATTGGTGTTGAACAATTTGTATAGTTAATTTGTGATTTGCTTGAATTTTCTAGAATAGTGTTTTATATATGGATAATTTGTAATGAGAGATTGATATTTGACTTTAATTTTGATAAGAACTTGTAATTGTAAATTTTTTACGACAAAACCCGTGGGTACCCATGAACCCGCGGATACCCAACGGGTTGGGTTGGGTTTGAGTTTTTCAAACCCAGTGGGTTTTACCCCGGGTTTTTTTCAAAGATAAACCCATGGGTTTGGGTTTGGCAAAACCCGACCCAACCCGACCCATTACCATCCCTAAGCATTAGTGTATATTGTTTGACAGTTCCAATGCTTACAAAATATATAAGAAAACTAAAAAAGTATTTGTACCAATGGGCCGTCAGGAAGTTGTCGTCATGGGCCGAAGATGAAAACAAAGGATATTGTACTCGTATTGGTGGGGTGCGCCAGGCCCAAGCAATAGTGCAACGCTCGGGCGACACGCGAGAAGGCCCCTGAAGCAAGCTCCAGTAGTGGGCTTTCTCCCCCTATAAAAATTAATTTAATATCGTGTGGGCCATTGGCCCACGTATCAGATATTAAACTGATAAGAACAGATACTACACTTGATCTTAGCCAAAAGGCCGAGAAAGGTATGAGATTTTCAACGTCCATAGCTTGCTTCTTATTCCAATCCTTCTGCTTTTACTTGCTTAGTTAAGCGATGTGGTAGATAGGTGTCTTCTTCACAGTACAGTAGCCGCTTCACAGTAATATAAGTAGAGTGACAACAAGATGGTTTAGCTGGTGGTTTGAATGAAATTACATGCATGCTGTAACCATAACCAGCAGTGCATTGAAAATCATGCGAAATAAGCTTACTGATGCATTCAACTGCTTTTCCTAGGTGGGATTAGTAGAAGATTAGTACAGAGGTATGCAAAGAGACAATGGTGAGATGGGCTGTTCTTAGATGGAAAATGTAGCCACGTTGGCATCTAAATGGTGGGCAAGATCCACTAAATTGCCTTCAGAAACTTGTTTTTTTGCACTGTGATTATGGAGAAAACTAAAAGCAAACGTGACAGTGCCTTCTACTTGAAGGCTTCTTTATATACATTTCAGAAGCTTGAAGGTTGATCCAGCTGATAGATGTTGTTTTCTCAACTATCTGTAATGAAGATCCCAGAACCTGTTTCGCACTGTCATTTTTCTCCTCTATGCAAAATATCGAAAAGTCACTGAAATGAGCAGAGAGTGGTATGCGCTGTGATAGAAGATAGATCATAGATGGAGCAATAAACTAAAGTTGAGGAATTAATTTCCAGGAGAACATGTATACTTATGTATTGAGTATCAAAATTGTCTTTACAGCTGATTGATATACAAGTATGACTTTGATGTTATAATAATTACAGATTGTGGATATTAAGAATGGAGGCTCTTGTTTTGATCAGACGCCTAAAGAGGCTCTCAACTCCTTCCAGAAGATCTTGAATGCGTGGCTGCAAGCTCTTCAGGTGAACTTGAACCTCCTCAGTAGATTTGTTCATCTTCAAAGAGGCATCCACGTCTGCAAATTCATTCTCATTTACTGGAGACACCCTTTTCAACTTGGTAATCAATGACCAGCTGCTTGGCTTTGAGCTCGATTGACAAATGAATGTCAGCAAGCACTCCAAAACCTCGACAACAGCAGATTCAACTTCCTTTAGCATGGCGATCGTCTCGACGTTGTTGGATGAAGTGGATTTCTTGTTTTCCATACCCTTCAAGACCTTCTGGACGGCTTTGATCACAATCTTCCGGGATTTCAGATATTTTCTGGTTTCTCCTTCCAAACCACCTTGCTTTCTGCGAATAGCGGATTGAAGTTCAGCCACAGACTCTTTCATCTGGGACAAGGCATCTCTGGCCGTGTTGCACAAATCCAAGAGCCTGAGGGATCCGTCTAGTAGCTCGTTGAAGCATTTCTGGTCATTGATCAAGGCTTCTCGAGTTGTCGACAGCTGGAACAACTGGTCAACACAATCATACACAACGTGAAGGCTATTCAAGCTGTGGCCTATGGATGATGATGAAGTGGAGGCAGCTTGACATTGTCTCAACCTGCAAACCTTCTCATCGATCTCCGAAACTAAAGGGTGTGATCTTGCAGGCAAACTGTTGGAGCGAGCATGGAAAGAAGCTGCTGCCATTTTTCTATTTGTTTTTCTTGGTGAAGATGAGAAGAAAACGCGAAACGTCGGGATGAAACCGCAAAGCGAAACGACGAAACATAAGAAACGTAAAGTTTATCCTTTGACCGATCACCTTTGTTTTATTCAAAAAAAAGTTTGTTTTATTCAAAAAAAAAAGGATCACATTTGTTGGTTGTATAAATTGCAATTGCTGGGGGATGGAGCTCGGCGTGTTGGGTCGATCTCGGTCATCGACGCCGGCCATACCGTACGTAGCCGGCCAAGAAACGAAGAAGAAAGATGCCAAACTCGAAGCCCGAAAGCATCCTCGCCGCCGTAATTCCCATGGAGCTTATTATGACAGAGATCTTGTGGAAGATCACCGACGGCGCGTGCATAGCCCGGTGCCGCTGCGTCTGCAGATCGTGGCGCGATCTCCTCTCGGGGCCTTCTTTGATTCGGCGCCATAACTACAAGCCGCTATCCCCACCCGATTCTTCTTCTTCTTCTTCTTCCGATGATTACCGAGTTATGTTTATCGGCTACGACGATTTCTGTCAGGGTAGTTACAGCTTGTACTCTCCCGGCACATTGGAGCCCTTCCTCAATACCTCCATGGAGGAGCTGCGAACGAAGTTCGCGGATCCGGTTCGAGTTGAGAAAATACGTGTTGCAGGATGCTGTAATGGTCTATTTTGTCTATCAGCTATTTACGACTGTAGCACCCTAGTCGGTCTGATGCTCTGGAATCCGGCAACCTCCGAGACCAAGCTCCTCCCTCCTTCCCCTTCCCATGATCGTGATGGTAGGGATCTTAAACCTGTTGGGTTGGGTTTCGATTCAGAAACAAACGACTATAAAGTGTTTGTGCAGCAGATCAACTATGGCGATCAGGAAGATGTATGTTTTCTGCTGGAGGTTTACAGTTTAAGGAAGGATTCGTGGAGGGTATTAGGAGGCTCTTCCTGGGTACATAACTGGTGGGAAATTCCCCTGTGTCATAAGGGGAAAATGTACTGGCCGGTTGTGGATCCCAGGAACAACAGATCATTACTAGTTTATTCTTTTGGTATCAGCAGTGAAGCCTGGGAAAGAGTCGAAATGCCTTGTCCAGTAGTAGCTGCTGATGCTGAGCATGTTGGAGTTCCTGGATGTTGGTTCAGCGAGGAGGAATCCATGGTGGTTCATATCCCGATCTTCCCCGAGTATGTTAACACGCCCGTACGTTCGGAGATATGGATGCTCTTGAAATGTTGGGAGCCGGAGTCTTGGGTGAAGTTGATGTCATCACAGAACCAAACACCATCAGATTGTTCGGGAATTCGACATCCTATTTCTCGACAGAGTGTGAAGTTGGGAAGACGAGTTTGATCGTCTTTGATCTCGAAAAGGGAGAATCCCATGATCTCGAAGTCAAGCTAGAAGGATATTATGGAGCCATAACTTATAAACCTTCTCAAGTTTGTCTGAGCAAGTATTCCATGTAAATTCGAACAGTAACAACTATTAGGTATACCGCGTTCATTGTGATATTTGCTATGGCACACTCTGTCCAATTCCTTGCTAAACCAAATAAAATTATGTTGTTCTGTTTTAGATTCTTTAATTTGAATCATTGTTACGTTTTCGTTCTACCATATGTACATATTTATGAATGGAATCACCACTTACCATTATTGTTATAAGTTAAATAAAAAAGTGTGCTTATTGGCATCTATCTCATTGATTTGATTCCTTGTGTCTCCTCTGGCTCATAGATTAGGTTAATGTATGTGCTAAAAAAATCGTATTAAGCTGTGCATGCATTAACATGGTTGCTGTAGAAATGGAAGGCAAGATCCACCTAATTTGGGTTTCCCAACGTGGTTCCATTATTGTATTTGTACGTGTGTTGATCACTCATTATCTACAGAGATTAATCTGGTTGTGTCAGCCTTCCATGTGCTTAGGGTGTTCTTCATTTTACCTTCACCTATATGAACTTATCCCAGGAGCTGTTTTCACTGTCATGTTTCTCTTGTATGGAAAAGGTGATCAAAATGGACTGTAAGAAAGTGCAGGGTGGTAGATACTAGATAGAGCAATGAACTGAAAGAGACATAATCTGCTAGGAACTTGGGGACCATGTATATTTATGGACTTGAGTATCAAAATTTTCTATACAACTTGTACAAGTATTGTTTCGATGATGTTAACAATTACAGATTGTGGATATTGAGAATGGAGGCTCTTGTTTTGATCAAACGCCTAAAGAGGCTCTCTACTCCTTCTTCCAGATCTTGAATGCATGGATGCAGGTTCTTGAGATGTAGTTGAACCTCCTCACTGGATTTGTTCATCCTCAAGGCGGCATCGGCATCTGAGAATTCATTCTCAGTTGCTGCTACTGCTGCAACCCTTTTAAATAACGACCAACTGCTTGGCTTTGAGCTTGATTGAGAAATGAATGTCAACAAGCACTCCAAAACCAAAGCAACAACAGATTCAGCTTCCTTCAACATGGATACTGTCTCAACGTTGTTTGATGAAGTGGATTTCTTGCTATCCATACCCCTCAAGACCTTCTGAATTGCCTTGATCACAGTCTTCCTAGACTTCAGGTATCTTCTAGTTTCTCCTTCCAAACCACCTTGCCTTCTGCGAATGGCGGATTGAAGTTCAGCAACAGATTCTTTCATTTGGGACAAGACATCCTTGGCTGTGTTGCACAGATCCAAGAGGCTCAAAGATCCATCCAAGAGCTCATTGAAGCATTTCTGGTCATTGATCACGGCTTGCTGTGTTGTTGGCAGTTGGAACAACTGGTCAACGCAATCATAGACAACCTGAAGGCCATTCAGGTTGTGGCCGATGGATGATGACGATGTGGAAGCAGCTTGAGATTGTCTCAACCTGCAAACTTGCTCATCAATTTCTGAGACGAGAGGGTGTGATCTAGTAGGCAGACTGTTAGAGCGAGCATGGAAAGAAGCTGCTGCCATTTTTGTTTTCTGTTGGTGAATATGAGAGAAGGATTGAGAGTGATGGGGTGGAGTTGGTTTGCAATGCCTTCTGTGGCTGCTACTGCAAGTTTATATAGAAAGGTGAGAAGGAAGAAACAGGTGGAGGAAGGAACAACAGAGAGACAAGATGAATCAAATAATCATATTATCTCCATGTGCAACCAGAATTGATCCATATGATTTTGGATTCAGATCTAAAACAATCCCAACAGTGTGTCTCTGCAATGTCCCTTGCCCACCAATACCTCCAACTCATTGGCTATGCCACAATTGTTTGATTAAGGCAGTGTATGAGGGATGAAGGCAGGCAAAGATCCATACTTTTCGCTTACCCCCATTTGTAAATGTTCATTGCCAATCTCTCTTCTCTGTTAGCAGAAGCCTTTAGTTAATTATTTCAGCAGACACATTGTTTCCTTCCAAGTTCAGAGAGTTCTTTAATGTGCAGTGATTCATTCCTCTCTGCAATCGTGGGGGTTGATTAATGTAATCATGGTGGGCTGTAAACAATATTCTTGGGCCAAAAGTATTTTTTGGGCTTTCCGTTGGGCCTACTGGACATCAGGCCCAAGCTTTGCTGCTGCATTTACAGACCAACAGAAGCCGTTTGAGAAACAGCATTTCGCGGGAGTTCTTTCCTTTTCCCTTTACATCAGCTCCATTTCTAGGCTAGGGTTTCAGATTCTTTTCGGGCAAGGGTTGAACAAAGCTACAATCGGACCTCGGCACTTCATGTACTGCGCTGAGCATGAGAACCATACCACACTGAGCTAAATACAAACGGGAGCTGCTTTCTCACCCTCCGTGCTTCCATTGAAGTCCTGCATCGTTTCTTTTGCCGCTGCAGCTGCTCGGTCCTTCGTTCTAGTTTAAGCACCTCGTCAGTCTCCCTCCCCAGCCGCAAAGATGCCTCTCCACCAGTTCCATTTCAACGCCTCTATCTCTTCTTCTTCATCGCCTTTCCTCGCTCCTCCCTCTGCCTTCAACTCCTTCTCCTCCAGGTATCCCCGCTTTCTTCTCCTATAATGAAAGATGATGCTTCGTGTTCACTTTTTCCTTTTCTCTCGTGGTATTTTCAAGTCTTGTTTATCGCCGCAGGCACCAGAACTTTTCTCTTCCGCCGCGAGACTTGGGGATTTGCAGGTGTGTTGCGACTCCTCAGGAAGCGAAGACCCCAACTGGTGCTTCTATTCTCCCTGTTGAAAGCCCCCACCTTTTTCTCTCCTTTTGGCATTATGCAAATGGGATTTGGTGATGAAATTCTGGGTCTGTGTTTGTTTGTGCTGTTGTGTGAAGCTTACAAAACGAATGTTTCTCGCAATGCCAACATGGGGAAGCTTCAAGCTGGTTACTTGTTTCCCGAGGTATGTAAACGAGGCTCCCCTGAATACAGTTGTTCCATTTTTTCGACAATATCGAATAGAGTGTAGGATTTGAAGTGGTTTTAGAGAGTGCCTCATGTAGCCGATTGAAGATATATGCGGAAGTCCTTGTATGATCGCACTCATTTGAACTTTTGTCTAAATTGATTGATTGCATTCGTCTTCTAGATACAAGCATCTGTCAGCGCTTGGCGCACCAGTTAATTGTCTGATTACTTCTACTAGCCTGTCCTTGTTTAACTCACTTGCATCCTCCAACTGCAAATCATTTGCTGAAACTTGTGCACCAGCTTGATCCTTATTCTCATCATCCTATTGCCCTGTAGGCTTCTGAAGCACTTTTCCACATCAAAATCTGTGTGCTCTGTTCTTTTATTCATATTTGTTAAAGTTGAGTTAAATTAGTCTCATCTTGAGATATTGTGTGAAATGACTGCTGGCCAGGCCAAGAAAGATCTTGTCGTGCAGTGTATGGAGATGAATCTTCTTTTCTGTTTGCTGCATCATTGCTAGTTATAGACTTTGTTACTGAGGCATAACATCGTTTTCTCTTATTTTATTATATATTCTAAGATATTTGGACCGTGATGTAATCCATGACACTTCATTGTCTGACTCAAAACAGGTTGCTAGGAGAAGGAATGCACATAAGGAGAAGTACCCTGATGCTCAAGTGATAAGCCTTGGAATAGGAGACACCACTGAGCCCATTCCAGATGTGATAACATCTTCAATGTCGAAAGTACTGCCCCTCCTGTTAGACATGACTCTATTACTAGTATTAAGTCCGAGTGATCTTTGTTATATGATTCTTAACAGTAGTAGTACAGCTCTCTCTATTGCATTGAAGTTTAAATCAGTTAATTAATTTAGTTGTCTCTTCCGAATGTGTTGAAGGATATAGCTCATGTTGTAGTCAGCTGCTGAAAAAACCTTTTCATTTTAGATTGCCCATTTTTACTACGTGTGCATATATCTGATATTTTTTTTTTTCGTATATGATATTTGAAATGTTTTGAAATGTCTAGTAATTATTGTCTAAATTACATTTTTTCAGAAATGCCAAGCATTGTCTACGCTTGAAGGTTACAGCGGCTATGGGGCTGAGCAAGGTGAAAAGGTATGTTACTCTTTGGAACCAGTTCTCTCATTCTGTAAATTTGCAGAAATTTGTCAGCCTTGATCCACGTTTATGTTTTGCTTTCCTTGGCGTTCCTTAAAAAGTCAACTGTTGTCTCTTTAAGATCTTGGAGTTTTCTATACCTAACAAGAAGGCCAATTGGTACTCTACATGTCACAATTTTGTTAACTTCTGATAATATAGTTGTGAATTGTAATTGCAAGTGCTATCTGTCTATCTCCTGTTGATAATGTTGTCTTTTGACCTTAAACTCCATTTCCGAAGCTACTATACCCTTGGAACTGGCTTAATGTTAACTAAAATGAGAAAAGGCTCACCTTTTCATTTTATATTTTTTTGAGGTTTTTGGTTATCGACCAGTTAACCTGCATGTTACTCTATGTAGTCATTGAGAGCTGCAATTCGGTCTACTTTCTATGCTGATCTTGGTATCGATGATGATGATATATTTGTGTCTGATGGTGCCAAATGTGACATATCACGCCTTCAGGTTTGTTGATGAACACTTCACTGTTTTGCTTATCGTTTTGTGTGGCTTCTTTCCATTTTCTCATTTATATTCATGCCTATGTAAAATTTTCTCTTGCCTCCATCATTTGATAGGTTGTTTTTGGCTCTAATGTCACAATGGCAGTGCAAGATCCTTCATATCCGGTAACTTCTTTTGTTTCTTTTTGTGAAACTTTAAGTTTTTGGGGAATATCAGGAATCTTTCACTTCACTTTGAACTTGCTATAACATAAATCGAACCCACTTGATATGTAATATAATGTCAAGAAGGCCCTGTAATACACTAAGACTGTTGTAGCCTTTCTCTAACTTCTTAGTTTCCACGCTTTGCAGGCTTATGTTGACTCCAGTGTCATAATGGGTCAGACTGGGCAGTTCCAAACGGATGTCGAGAAGTATGCCAACATTGAATACATGAATTGCACTCCGGAGAATGGTTTCTTTCCTGATTTATCCAAGTCCCCTCGAACAGACATAATATTTTTTTGTTCCCCTAACAACCCCACTGGAGCTGCTGCAACAAGGGAGCAACTGACCCGCTTAGTACAGTTTGCCAAGGACAATGGATCCATTATTGTCTATGATTCGGCATATGCATTGTATATGTCTGATGACAATCCTAGGTCCATTTTTGAAATTCCTGGGGCGAGAGAGGTAAAGGTTCAGTTGATACTTTGTCTTGTTTCGATTGCTGTTTTTTTGGGCAGGCTAACTACCTATGTTAATTTTCACATCTTTCCCTTCCTGTGTATGTACCTTGATTTCTTGGGCCTTTAGGCTGACGCTTTTGACGGTTTCCCCTTGGTTTCTTATGGCCTTGGTGTTATGATAGCTCATACTCCATGTTTCTGGGTGATCTCAGGTAGCAATTGAGACTTCATCTTTCAGCAAGTATGCTGGGTTCACTGGAGTTCGGCTAGGTTGGACTGTGGTTCCAAAGGAGCTTCTTTTCTCTGATGGGTTCCCTGTGGCCAGGGACTTCAACCGAGTTGTCTGCACTTGCTTCAACGGTGCTTCCACTGTCGCTCAGGCGGGTGGCCTGGCTTGCCTGTCACCAGAAGGCCTCAAGGTTCCCCTCTTCTTATTCTTGTGTTCTTCAGTTCCTTATTGTATTCTTCAAGTTTGTCTTGCGAATGCATACTCCACAGATAAATAGCTGTACTCTGTCTATCTCACAGGCAATGCACGAAGTAATTGGATTCTACAAAGGAAACACAGAGATTATAATGGATACCTTTAACTCACTCGGGTTCAAAGTCTATGGCGGTAGGAATGCTCCATACGTGTGGGTACACTTCCCTGGCCGGAGCTCATGGGATGTGTTTGCCGAGATTCTGGAGAAGACCCATGTAGTAACCACACCTGGTAGTGGTTTTGGCCCTGGTGGTGAAGGTTTTGTCAGAGTGAGTGCCTTTGGTCACAGAGGGAATGTTTTGGAAGCCTGCAAGAGGTTCAGGCAGCTTTACAAGTGAGAGATTACAGATTATCTTGTTTGGGTTATACATGCCCCTAATCAGTGAGATGATAAATCATAAAAGACATCTGCTTCAGTTTTTTATTTTGATTTTCCTGTGTACTGGGTGTTGGTATTGGAGAATAATTGAAGAGATCAAAGTTGAAGTGGAAAAATAATCTGTCGGAGTTCAAATGCAATTTTCTGCCATCTCTGTTTTAGACGATTGTATTCTTCCAGGTAAAGAATTAGAATTTCTATCAAGTTCTGTCTGGTGTCTATAAACTATAAAGTCTCAAGTATAAACCCATCACTATACCAAGTGGTGTTAGTCTTTGTTCTACAGGCAAATTTAGCAACCTCTACGTAAACTATATGCTCATTCATTGGTGCTCTTGTTTTAAAGAGACGCCTAAAGTGGCAGCCAACTCCTTCCTCAAGGCCTTGAATACATGGCTGCAAAATTTCAGATGAACTTGCACCTCTTCTCCAGATTTGTTTGTTTTCAAAGAGGCGTCCACTTCTGTGGATTCATTCTCTTCACTTGCTGCTGCAACCCTCGTCGGCTTCGAAACAAATGACCAGCTGCTTGGAAGTTGAAGAGAAGAGCTGAGAGAAATTATTTGCAATGGCTTCCTTGGCATCCAGAGTTAGTTTATATAGATGGGTTTCTATGGACTGCTGCAGAAGTTTACAGCCGTTGTCTCTTGTGAGCAAACAGCCAAACACTTGATGGCTTCCTAATGGTGTCAAAAATGCTTTTACTCATGGCCTCGTCAGCCACATAGTTCAAACAAGGCCTCGAAAGCCAAATGTATGTCTCCTATTATCACAGTCGAGAGCAACTTAATAATGAAGTTTATACAGATATTCTTCTTATGTTTCCTCTACCCCTTGTTCTTCATCCTGGCTCATGCTGGTGCATGCAGCAGAAAAATACCGTTATAAAAGGTTGACGTGCATCTCCTCTCCGACTATTGCGAAAATATCATCTATCCTGAGATTTTTGGAAACAAAAAGCAAGTTAGTGACCCAATGTGTAGTCTGAACAAACTCGAAAGTGTTGTTCTGTTCAATGATCTTAGACGCTAGGAGGGAAGTTACACCAGGTTCAAGTCAATAGCACCAAAAGTAACAAAAGTTTTTTTTTACCTGTTGCAATCCATATTCACCTCGCAGAGCCATGTTGTCAGATAGACCTTCACACAGACAAACGAACCAACTTTTTTGGTGATCATTTGCTACAATGGAGCTTTCAACACACATGAATCTTTTTAAGTGACTAACTTTACCTGCAAAGTCTCCAAGTTGTTTGGTTGACCCTCATATTGTATTTTGGAATTGGTGAAGGTGGATTTCAACTCTATCAATCTCGGTCGAATTGGTTGTTGATCAGTTTCATCGGAGGGGTACAGGTTGCATAACCTTAGTTGTTCAAATTCTCCGGGGTAAAGCTCATTCGACCAGCACCATACTTCCTCGCCTTTGGGAGCTTCGCTACTGACACTACTAAGTAGCTCTACAACAATCAGGCGCTGTTGATGCAAAAACGCAACCAATGCATAAAACGAAAGGAGACGACCATTTAAGCAGAGAGTCCAGTAGACAGTACAACAGAGGCGGAAGTAGATTTTACCTTGATCATCAGTTCAGATATGAACATCTGAACAAGCTCATCTGCCAACTGCTCTGCCAACCACACCATTTAAGCAGCAGCAGGTCACAAAAACTCGATTCGAATACACAATTCGACATAACCATGAAGGGGATGGATAAAAATGGTTACATACCGAAAAATGAGACTGACCAAAACAAGAACACTGGGATCTCACCACCATCTCCCCTGTCATCGTTATCCATGGAGCTGTTGGTGGAAAATTGTACTATTGAACTACTACTATTTGCTGTATTCGAATAGCATCTCAAGGATTTACTGATCGCTACCATTTGAGCTGTTATTCCCAGCTGCCAGAGACAGACGGATCACGCAAAACGAATTCGAACCTAAGTGAAAAAGAAAAGGCAGAAGGGAATAGATATCCGCAAGTTACCAGAATTTTGTAGGACGACAAAAGTTTGGTTCGATGAAGCTCCTGATAAAGAGAATGTCAAAATCAAAGCCAGGGCAGTGTTTATGGAGCTAAGTAAAGGGAAAATATCAACCCATACCACCAACCTGCTGTTTAGACAGCTTGGAAGAGGCTTTCTCTCGAATAGCTGGCATGTCACTGACAACTCCGAGCTCCATCGATGGCATGTATCTGAAACCAAACCCAAAATTCAATCTTTGGGTTCTCCAAAACAACCCCAGATTAAGCGAAAAGCACTTGCTTTTAGCTCGATTCATGAAAACCCAATCAGGGAAAGGAACGTCGGAATAAGAAAGCTGGGAAAGGGAAGGGAAAGAAACATACTTTCGAGAGAGATGTGCGTTGACAAGTGAGGTGGCGTGCGATCTCCCGGCGGAGGAAGACGTCACCCATTCTGAGCGGCAGGAAGCCAGCTTCGACCATTGGTTCCTCAGGTTCCGTTGCGCCGCTGGTCTCCAAAGGCGCGAAATCGACGGCGGCGGCGAGCTGGAGACGGTAGGGTTTCGCCCTTGAGAGGAGGAAGACGATGAATTGCGTTGCGGCGTTTCCATCGTAGACTTGACGCAGCGGCAGCTGGCGCCAGGAAGGAAGAGCGACGGTCGGTTGGGGGTGACGGCGGGAACTATCAGTTTGGTTAGAACTTCAAACCCTAAGATTTTAAAAGGAGGCAAAAGCGGATTGACGTCACGTTTGGACAAATTACAAAGTGCCCCCCAAAGATTATAAAATGACCGCTTATTTGCAACTCTTGTATGCCTGCCTTGCTGCAACTGAAGGAACTTTAGCTTCTGGTTTGCTATCATTGCTTACCTCACAAGAAATCGCAGAGCCAAGAACAAGTTGAAATGGTGAACAAGTTAAATCACAGTGGGAGTAGATCATTGTTCTGGTGTAAATGATATCACAGTTCCTTGAATGACAAACAACCTAAATCAGGTGATCATTGCAAATTGGTATGATTGTTATCATGAAGACATCAACCACCTTTTCACTTGCATCCCAAGGAACTGCAACCTTTCAACCTCCACCAACACCCTCTCTCTCTCTCTCTCTCTCTCTCTCTCTCTCTCTCTCTCTCTCTCTCTCTCTCTCTCCTCCCCCCTTTGCCATTCTCCTCTAATCTAAAGAGTCATGGCAACTACTCTTCTTGGAACAACTCAAAATCCAACAACATGGCTAATAATCCAGCACCTGGAGCTTCCTCCTCCTCTTCCAAGCTGCAACAGCAGCTTCTTACTTGCTCACTCTGCTTCCTCTTGATGGTCAACCTCTCCCACAAAATCGTGCAGTCTGCTGAGGCTGCCCCTGATAAAGATGGATGGACGGCAAGCCGAGGCAACAGCAGCACGAAATCATCAGAGCTTTGCAGCAGCAGCAGCAGCAGCATTGACACCGCGACATTTCTGCCCCCGCCATACTCCAACATCACCATGGCCTGTACCCCTCTCTGGAACAACTTCGTCCTCAGGGTAATGATTTAAGTCTTCAATTATTTAACCAGAATTACAAACAAAATAGTTCCAACCTGGAATTTCAATTTACAAGCTTGGGCAATGGCAATGGCAGTACCACAAGGGAGAAGACAATGTGATGACATTTGTGCTATCTGTGGTTTACACGAGCGGATGGGTGGGGATGGGATTCTCCAAGAACGGGCTGATGGTGGGATCCAGCGCGGTGGTTGGGTGGGTGACCAAGAAAGGAACTCCAATGGTGAAGCAATACTACCTCCAAGGGTCCAAACAGTCACAGGTAGTGGCAGATGCAGGGGAACTTGACCTCAACCACATTCCCCCGGCGGCCGTCCTCCACCCCCCGCACATTTACTTGGCGTTTCAGGCCAAGTTCGACAGGCCTCTTCTCAAGCAGCCCATCATTCTGGCTTTTGGGACCAAATACCCCGGTCACCACCACTATCGCTTGTCACACCACGACGACAAGACCACCATTTTGTTCGACTTCTCTGCAGGCCCAGAATCAGCAGTGGTGATTGATGCTGGGGAAATGAAGAGAAACCATGGGGTATTGGCGACATTAGGGTGGGGTGTTCTGTTACCTGCTGGAGCCATTGTTGCCAGATACCTGAGGGAGAAAGATCCATTGTGGTTCTATCTCCATTCCATCATCCAGTTCCTTGGGTTTCTCTTGGGGCTTGCTGCTGTAGTCCTGGGACAGAAGCTATACATGGAGACCAATAACGCCCAACTACTGCCACACAGAGGGATAGGAATCTTCATTCTCACCCTCGCCATTCTTCAGGTAAAACCAAAAGATGAAAACTTTATTCTGATGAATGATGTTTTGATAGATTCTGAGTGGTTGGTTTGTGGGTCTGCAGATACTGGCGTTTTTCTTGAGACCAAACAAGGAGTCCAAGATCAGGAGGTACTGGAACTGGTACCATGCCTGGATAGGGAGAGCTGCTCTTTTCTTTGCAGCGGTCAACGTTGTGCTGGGGATCCATATGGGACATGCTGGGACTGCTTGGAAGGTTATGTATGCCTTGATTCTAACAACCATCCTGGTCACAGTCATAACTCTTGAAGCATTGCAACGATTGAGGTGGAGACCGGAGAAGAACACTGATGACATCAACAACCATCATCCTCATGCATCCAACTTACAGATGAACTCCAATGCAATAATGTAATTTGTATGATACCATCTCTAGTACATTGTAAAATTTGCATAGATTAGCATGATTGTTGTACCAATGGAAGGCAAGATCCACCTAATATGGTTTCTCAAGGTGTTCATTATTGCCTTTGGAGGTGTGATGATTACTCATTTCTGCAATAATGCATCTGGTTTGGTCAGTCTTCCATGTGATTATGATTCTTTTCAACTTTGATCAGATCTTATTTACCTTACCAATCTGATATGATCCCAGAAGCTGCTTTCAATGTTATTTCACCCCCTACAAGCAGAGATGGTAATTTAAAATGGACAGAAATGCAGGTTGGTAGATAGAGCAATGAATCGAACGAGACATGAATTTCCAGAAACTTAGGGACCATGTATATATATAGATTTGAGTGTCAAAATTTTCTATACAACTTGTACAAGTATTTTTCCGAGGATGTAACTACAGATTGTGAATATTGAGAATTGAGGCTCTTGTTTTGATCAAACGCCTGAAGAGGCATTCAACTCCCTCCACGAGCTCTCCAATGCATGTCTGCAGATTCTTAAGGTGAAGTTGGATCTGCTCGCTGCATTTGTTAGCCTTCAAAGAGGCATCGACATTGGCAAATTCATTCTCGCTAGAAGCTGCTGCAACCCTTTTCAGCTTGGAAACAAATGACCAGCTGCTTGCCTTTGAGGTTGATTGAGAAATGAATGACAGCAAGCACTCCAAAACCTCAACAATAGCAGATTCCGCTTCCTTCAATGTGGAGATCGTCTCAACGTTGTTTGATGAGGTGGACTTCTTGCTATCCATGCCCTTCAAGACCTTTTGGATGGCTTTCATCACAGTCTTCCTAGATTTCAAGTATCTACTGGTTTCACCTTCAAAACCTTCTTGCCTTCTACGAATGGCAGATTGAAGCTCAGCAACAGACTCTCTCATTTGAGACAAGGCATCTTTGGCAGTATTGCACAAGTCCAAAAGCCTCAAAGATCCGTCCAACAACTCATTGAAGCACTTCTGGTCATTGATCAAGGCTTGTTGGGTTGTTGGCAGTTGGAACAACTGGTCAACACAATCACACACAACCTGAAGGCTGTCAAGGTTGTGGCCTATGGATGATGACGATGTGGAAGCAGCTTGATATTGTCTCAACCTGCAAACCTGCTCATCGATTTCTGAGACTAGAGGGTGTGATTGTGTAGGCAAACTGTTGGAGCGAGCATGGAAAGAAATAGCTGCCATTTTTGGTAATCTTGGTGAATATGAGAGAAGGATTGAAAGACAGAGAGAGATATGACTGGAGATGATTTGCAATGCCTTCTTTGGCACCTATTGCAAGTTTATATAGAAGATGAGAGAAAAGAGGAAACGACAGAGAGACAAGAGGAATAGGAGCATCTTGTTTCTCCCATGTGCAAACACAATTCAATCCACCTCATTATCAGCATTGTGTCTACGAAATGTCCCTTCCCTACCAAGTAATCCAACTCATTGGCCTCCATCATCGAGGTAGGCAAGATCCATGCATCCTGCTTCTCCTGCAGCGTCATTCAATAGTAAAGATTATCATATCTCTAGTGCCTTGAAAACAAAGTCAAACAGCTCACTCGTGCATGGTGCATCAACTTCTACGGGGGAGACAGACGTTGAAAACGGACTCTGTACCATGAGAGTTGGAGAGTAGTGGTAGGCAAGAGACAATGCACTGACATCGCTGACATGGTTGGCTGGCTGGTTTCCAAATCAAAATCACATTTCCATCTCTAGTAGGTGAGATATGCAAGACAATGAGATTCCTTGTGTCCCCTCTTGCATCCAACCATATATAGTCAATGAGATGGCAACCAAAGTCTGCAACTTTCCTTCGACTTCACCACAAGAATGATGATTTCCAACCCCAGATGAAGGAAAAGTGTTCATCATCTGCAATCAGTTTTAAGGCGATGAAAGAAGGGTGCTCATGAGCTCAAGTCTTGCAATTGAGGTTAGGAAAAGTATTTAGCTCCAATGGAAGGCAGTAAACAAGGGCTGCTCTACTCATTGCTGTGAGAATTCATAGCTGGTTAGTTTCTAAGCTGGAAAAAGAGCCACAAACAAAGTGGGAAGTAATCACAGATGAACATTCAAGAGCAGAAGGAGAAGATACTTACAGCATTTTGCGAATTGCATCAGAAGACAACAGTTGAAGCAAGCCAGGTAAATACCGTACCTGTGAAAGGATCCGCAAAATAGTTTCTTTCGAAGGGTATCGACTTGTGCATTGCATTCGATATTTGTCTGCAATCCCTCTCCCGCAGTAGGAAACACGAAACGTCGGGAAGAACCACAAAAGGAAACGATGAAACATATTGTTTATCCTCTTACAGCCACATACCAACAGGCTCTGCCTTTCTCCTTTTTCCATTTAGGAACAGGGGAAGTATAAGTATTTCAATCCCATCTCGTCATCTTTACCGACCACCTTGGTTGTATATATACAACTAGTGCTATATTGGAAGACATTTTTGCTGCCAGGCTTTAGAGACAAATAAAAGAGAGCTTCTTTTTCATTAGATCAAATGGTAGATTCTTTTCTGCAAATAGTTCATGCACCAGTATTACATTTACAGTATACATATCTAGGTATAATCAAACCGGAGTTGAAAAGGTAACAAACAGAAGAGGGAAAAAGATGACAACTTTACAAATAGCTTCCAGCAAAACTCAATTCGGCATGCACGTACTTCACCGGTTCACAGAGTGAAAGGATTGGAGGGCGTGTAAACAGTTGGAACCTTAGACATGGTTATGTTTCCTGCTAGTACATTAGGTGCTACGGTATCTTCAATGGTGACTGGGTTCAGCTGCACCACTCTCTCCGGTATAACCTTCTGGCCGTCAACTTTGGCCAGCACCTCGAAATGCATCCTTACTGACTCTGGCTTGGTCCTCCAGTCTGCAAACCCCTCTAGAACAATTCCATCTCCTTCTTTCAGTTTCTTCTCTACACCAAAACCTATCTTCACATATGTCTGTGCCGAAACATCAGCCTTCAACAGCTTGAAGGAACCCTTCTCATTAGCCTTGGCACCCAGCACAGAGGCGAGCAGTTTCTCAAAGCCAACTAAATTAGCGTGGGAACCATTCAATGAAGCGAGAGGCCACATTGTTGAGAAATGTTTGGGAGTCAAAACAGTGGTAGCAGCTTCTTCAAGATCATCTGTAGATAGAGCATTGTACCTCATGGGAGACGATAACTCCACTAGGCCTGGGCCGAGCCGCTTGAGCTTGAGCTTGAGCTTGTTACTAGATGATGGTGTAGTGGAGGTTGGGGATTCCAAGTTGGTGGGACCTACAATGCGCAGAGAAATGAGAGGAGCACCCTCAGCTCGGGATGTCTGCCGTAGCTGTTCTGCAAGAGAAAGAAGACCCGCAGCAAAACCATTCTCAGTCCTGTTGAGGGGCAGTGGTAGATCAATCGGGTGGCGTAAGCTAACTGATCTTGCACCCTTCACTGTGACAACAGCACCATCTGCTAACATTACTTTCTTCAACACTCCAGCATCCACATCATGCTGGAAAAAACAACACACACAGAGACCATTCAGGCACCCAAGGCAAACTCCCGGAACACAAAATTTGAATCCCAAGACCTAATCTTTCTCATTCCATGTTAAGTTTCGAAATCAATAAACCTTTTTCCCTCTATTCTGAAAGATCCAGGGAACCTTACCGGTAAAGAGAGGCGCATGTCCTTGGCATCCTGAATCCAAATCTCCATAGGACCAGCAAGCTGGAACGGGGCCAATACCGGCAAAGGGTTCCCATTTCTTTTCTCTGCCACGGCATTCTCATCCTCCTCCATCCTAAACATAGGCAAGTCGACGTATTCCCACCGATTCACATCTTCCAACAGCTTGAACGGGATCGCTTGGCTGTCAATCTCGACGTCGAATTCGTAAGCCACGGAGTGCCCCACAAGCGCATCCTTCAAATCGAACCCCGAGATCTTGAAATCGTCGGCGTGTAACCCTAACCCTTTCACCACCGCATCTTTCAAATCCTATTACGTAATGCATCGTCAATAACTTCATTACATTTATCCGATGTTATACCAAAATTCGCAGAAATTTAAACAGAAAGAAAATAAATGGAGAAGAATCGGACATACGGAGATGGGTTTCGGATACTGAGGGCGATGGAATTCCGGAGAAGAGGAAGCGGCGGACAAGAGCGACAGAAGAATCGTGAGTAGAGCGAGGACAGGCAGAACCTTCCGAGCCATAATCGCGGAAACGGGAAAGAACGGCAGAGCGGCAGACCAGCGCCGTCGTCGGCGAGAGAGAAGCAACCAGCTACGAGAGAGATCAAGGAGGAGTTTGTTTCTCTTTTTTTCAAGGTTAAAATTATCTTTCTCCCTGTTGTTCGCTAGGGAAATAGGGGTGCGAGCGAGGAAGAGATCAATTAAACGTGCGGCATATGCGGGAGGGAAGTTTCTGGATTGGCGGAGGAGTACCGTGGGAGGATGACGTGTCTCCAATGAACCAATGGGCGGGCAGATAATGATGTGGAACAAGCTTTGATTGGCTTGATTTGTTGTCGCCGAGGACTTTTAAAAAGAGGTTTTGATATTCTTGGTAATTAAAGCTAGCTTCCGGGCTTCGAGCCCGGCCCATTAGCCGATTGTGAGCTAAGGCCTAAGAGTAGCTTTTAGTTGGACTTTTAAAAGACTGTTTGATATTCTTGGTATCTAAAGCTAGCTTCGAGCCCGGCCCACTGGATGATTGTGAAGTAAAGAGTAGCTTTTAGTTGGACTTTTAAAACTTGATTCCTTTTTGTCTCCACCCTCTGACATATAGGTTTTAGATTACTGTATATGATTAAAGATTCATACCAAGCTGCATAGATTAGCATGATTGTTGTACCAGTGGATTAGTGGAAGGCAAGATCCACCTAATGAGGTTTCTCAACGTGTTCATTATTGTCTTTGGACGTGTGATGATTACTCATTTCTGCAATAATTAATCTGGTTTGGTCAGTCTTTCATGTGATTATGATCCCAGAAGCTTATTTACCTTGCCAAGAGAGTGCAGGTTGGTGGATAGAGCAATGAATCGAAAGAGACATGAATTTCTAGGAACTTGGGGACCATGTATATTTATAGATTTGAGTGTCAAAATTTTCTATACAACTTGTACAAGTATTGTTTCGAGGATGTAACTACAGATTGTGGATATTGAGAATTGAGGCTCTTGTTTTGATCAAACGCCTGAAGAGGCACTCAACTCCTTCCTCGAGATCTTGAATGCATGGCTGCAGATTCTTCAGATGAAGTTGGATCTCCTCACTAGATCTGGTTGTCTTCAATGAGGCATCCACATCGGTAAATTCATTATCACTGGAAGCTGCTGAAACCCTTCTCAGCTTGGAAACAAATGACCAGCTGGTTGGCTTTGAGCTTGATTGAGAAATGAATGACAGCAAGCACTCCAAAACATCAGCAGCAACAGATTCAACTTCCTTCAATGTGGAGATTGGCTCAACGTTGTTTGATGAAGAAGACTTCTTGCTATCCATACCCTTCAAGACCTTTTGGATGGCTTTCATCACAGTCTTCCTAGATTTCAAGTATCTTCTGGTTTCACCTTCAAAACCTCCTTGCCTTCTACGAATGGCAGATTGAAGTTCAGCAACAGACTCTTTCATCTCAGACAAGGCATCTTTGGCGGTATTGCACAAGTCCAAAAGCCTCAAAGATCCATCCAACAACTCATTGAAGCACTTCTGGTCATTGATCAAGGCTTGTTGGGTTGTTGGCAGTTGGAACAACTGGTCAACACAATCATACACAACCTGAAGGCTATCAAGGTTGTGGCCTATGGATGATGACGATGTTGAAGCAGCTTGAGATTGTCTCAACCTGCAAACCTGCTCATCGATATCTGAGACTAGAGGGTGTGATTGTGTAGGCAAACTGTTGGAGCGAGCATGGAAAGAAATAGCTGCCATTTTTTGTTATCTTGGTGAATATGAGAGAAGGAATGGAAGACTTGAGAGAGATGTGGCTGGAGATGATTTGCAATGCCTTCTTTGGCACCTATTGCAAGTTTATATAGAAGATGAGGAAAAGAGGCAGGTGGAGGAAGGACAACAGATAGACAAGAGGAATCAAAGCATCATTTTTCTTCCATGTGCAAACACAAATCCATCCACCACATCATCAGCATTGTGTCTGTGAAATGTCCCTTGCCTACCAAGTAATCCAACTCATTAGCCTCCATCATCATGGTAGGCAAGATCCATGCATCCTGCTGCTCCTGCAGCATCATTGAATAATTGAGAGTCATATTCCTAGTGCCTTGAAAATGATGCCAAACAGCTCACTCGTGCATCACCTTCTGCAGGTGACAGACGTTGAAATCTGACTATAAGTCTATAACCATGAGAGTTGGAGAGTGGTGGAAGGCAATGAGACAATGCACAGACATTGCTGAGATGGTTTGGTTGGTTGTTCAGTTCCAAATCACGCCCACATTTCCATCTCATCCATTCATTCGTTGATTTATGTAGATGAGAAGGCAATGAGATTCCTTGTGTCTCCTCTTCCATCTAACCATATATAGTCAATGAGATGCCAACCACCAAAGTCTGCAACTTTCTCTTCGAACTTTCGTTTCTTTTATCCCCCCAGATGAAGGAAATGCTAACGTTCATGATCTGCAATCAGTTTTCTGGACATCGAAGGAACGGAGTTCATAACGAACTTAAGCCTGACGATTGAAACAGGACAGTCCCAATTGCTGTGAGAAACGCCAAATGCGACAAGACGGACAAACGAAACGGAGAAACGCGATACGTTTCGTTACCTGCGATATATTTGGCTTGCGGTGGGGATAAGTGGCTGTAGCGTACTTAAGTTTTCCCGGTGGGGTTGGATTTTGTCCAGAAAATGGCCAGAGAACGCAACACTTCTTCTTCTTTTTTGATTTGCCGAAGAAATGGCGTTATCTGGCGTGGCAGCGGCGAGCTTCCCATTTAGGATACAACAGGTAGGTAACTCAATTCTTCCTTCCACCATGAAGTTAGTTGGCTATCGTTAATTTTATCGAGCATCTGACGCTGGAAGTCTGCCACCAACTTGTTCTGATGAAGGAGCTTGACAATCTCCAACGAATACCCAGTCTCAGTCTCGGGCATCCCAAATGGGTTTCCCGCCACCGCCGCTGGTGCGCAGCAAGTCCCCAAGATAGGAATTCTTCTTCAGTTGGAACTGCTGAAACCCCGTTTCCTGCTGATTATGGGGAGCTTCTTGATCAAGTGAGTGGGTCTGCCTTGGATTAATGGAAAGTTGGGTATTGGGTTGCTTGTGTTTTGACTTTTGAGGAAAGAATTCAACATTCTACTATTATGAACAGGCCAAAACTGCAGCAGAACAGGCTCTGAGTGATGGGATAAAGCTCATGGTTAGTTTATGGGATTTTCATGTGCTGTTGGGGAAACTGATTATGGATGGAGGGACTCTTGTGATTGTTTGATCTCTAACTGATGGAAAGATTGCTGCTTTAAAAAAATACACAGGAGATTGAATTCCCAACAGCTGGGCTTGAGTCTGTACCAGGTGATGGTGAAGGGGGGATAGAAATGACTGACAGCATGCTCTTGATTCGTCAGTTTTGCGACCGGTTGGTTAGTCCTCAGAAAGCTTCAAGAACCAGAATTGTGGGTCTAGTCTGCCTCTCTTTGCTTTGATCGTTGCAGCAACATATATCCCTTTTCCTTCTTATAAGGGATGCATGCATGACTCCATTCGAATGATATGTGCATTTAAGCTTGTTAGCTATTCAGACTTGTTTACAAGTCCTTCCATTTATTTATGATCCAGTTCTTCCCAGAGGCAAATGAGGTTACGTTTGCTAGGGAGACTGCATTTGGAGGGTCATCCCTGAGGCTGGACTACTTGACGAAGCCATCGTTTTTCGAGGATTTTGGCTTTACTGAGAAGATCAGAATGTCAGACCGTGTAAAGCCAGAGGACGAATTGTTCCTAGTCGGCTATCCATACTTCAATGTGAATGGTAGTAGTTGTTCAATCCTGTCTCCATGTCTTTGAAGAGAAGTTGATTGATACTAAGTTCGTCACACTCCTATTACACTTGTTTTCTGTTTCAGAAATGCTTGTGGTGGAGGAGCTTTACAAGGAAGCTGTTGCAGACACAAACCGTCAATTGATTATATTCAACGGAGAGCTTGACCGAATAAGATCTGGATGTATCCTTTTTCAAGAATATCAGCAGTTTCTTTGGAGACCTTGTCCATAAACAACAGTAACATGATATTGATCATTCTGCTTCACTCAAATGTTGTGTCCTTGAACGAGCTGTAGACTATCCACCCTTCTTCTACCCCAAGCTGGCCTCGCTGTCCAAAACGTTCTTCCCATTGATGGAGACGGTATACTACATTCATAATTTCAAAGGACGCAATGGGGGTGTTCTTTTCAGGTTTGCTGCAACTCCATCAGTGAATGCGTTCCACTCGTGGCTTAACATATATAGACGATTTCTTTTGCCATCTTCCGTGCTGGTTTTTTCATTATCAATCGGAATGTATACTGTGCTGCAGGTGTTATCCAGGCCCGTGGAAGGTCCTTCGAAAAGCGAGGAATTCTTCTTATGTTTGCCTGCATCAACAGCAAACCATGCCGTCCCTCAAGGAAGTTGCTCTGGACATTCTTCCTGCAGCCTGAGAAACTCAAATGGTTATAGTTCATTCACTCTGCTTCTGGTTCATGGGATCTGCAAATTAATGTTTGGGTAAAAAACATTTAGAAAGTTGTACATCTTTCCTTTTTGACAAATGATGCATTGTTGGTTTTACCAACTCAATGAGATTCTTTCTGTACATATTCCCTTCGCATTCATAAGATTCCATGCATTCTGCTGCTTTACCATTTAACCATAACCAAACTTTAACTCAGTAAATCAAAACAAAATGGGCTCAAGCAGTAACAGAAAATTGGACTAAGATTGGTGGGGTGCGCCAGGCCCAAGCAATAGTGCAACGCTCGGGCGACACGCGAGAAGGCCCCTGAAGCAAGCTCCAGTAGTGGGCTTTCTCCCCCTATAAAAATTAATTTAATATCGTGTGGGCCATTGGCCCACGTATCAGATATTAAACTGATAAGAACAGATACTACACTTGATCTTAGCCAAAAGGCCGAGAAAGGTATGAATTGAACAGTATCCAGAGTTTGCTTCTTATTCCACGCCCTTCGCTTCCTCAAGTTGGTTTAACGATGTGGTAAAAGATTGGCTTTCTCACTCACAGAAGCCACTTCACAGTAGACAAAAAAGAGAGGAGATGTTAAATTTAAAACTGCTTTTCTTTAGTGAGATTAGTTGAAGATTAAGGTTGAATAATAACAATTAATGAATTCAACAGTACTACAGGTAAGCAGGAGACATAAGCATGAAGCATAGCTGTGAATGATAGTTGCTGTATTAGCCACTTGTACAATGAAGGAACGTGTAAATGATTCAACTGAGCCTTTTGACAGGAAACAAGCCATCACATTCTGCAGTGCCCATGAACTGTTTGTTTGCTTACTCGCTGATCTCTGACATCATGAGTTGTTATGTTATTGCCAGGCTCCCATGTGATGTGAATGCCCTCCAATTGAAGGTTTTCTTTTTCTTACATTTCAAAGAATTGAAGGTTAATGGAAGCTATGTATTGTTCTCTCGACTGTCTGTAATGATCCCAGAACCTGTTTTCCACTGTCATTCATGTTTGTACTACATGTATTGTGATGGAAGATAGAGCAATAAATGAAAAAGTGAGACATAAATTTCCAGGAGACCATGTATATTTACGGATTTGAGGATCAAAATTTTCTATACAACTTGTACAAGTATTGTTCCGATGATGTAATAATAACTACAGATGGTGGATATTGAGAATGGAGGCTCTTGTTTTGATCAAACGCCTGAACAGGCACTCAACTCCTTCCTCAAGATCTTGAATGCATGGCTGCAAGTTCTTGAGTTGAACTTGAACCTCTTCACTAGATTTGTTCATCTTCAACGACGCATCCACCTCTGCAAACTCATTCTCACTTGCTGATCCTGCTGCCGCCCTTTTAAATAGTGACCAGCTGCCTGGTTTTGAGCTTGTTTGAGAAATGAATGACAACAAGCACTCTAGAACCTCAACAACAGCAGATTGAGCTTCCTTCAACATGGAGATAGTCTCATTGTTGTCTGATGAGGCAGACTTCTTGTTGTTCATACCCTTCAAGACCTTCTGGATTTCTTTCCTCACAATGTTCATAGACTTGAGGTATCTTCTGGTTTCACCTTCCAATCCTCCTTGCCTTCTGCGAATAGCAGATTGAAGCTCGGCAACAGACTCTTTCATCTGGGACAAGCCATCCTTGGCTGCGTTGCACAAATCCAAGAGCCTCAGCGATCCGTCCAATAGCTCATTGAAGCACTTCTGGTCATTGATGAAGGCTTGTTGGGTTGTGGACAGTTGGAACAACTGGTCAACATAATCATACACAACCTGGAGGCCATTTAGATTCCGGCCTATGGATGATGATGATGCGGATGCAGCTTGAGATTGTCTCAACCTGATAACTTGCTCATCGATTTCGGACTAGAGGGTGTGGCCTTGCAGCAGGAAAACTGTTGGAGCGAGCATGGAAAGAAACAGCTGCCATTTTTCTTGGTTTTGTTTTCTTGGTGTTTATGAGAGAGATGGTTAGAGATGATTTGCAATGCCTTCTATGTTACCCATAGCTTGTTTATATATACAATGAGAAACTGAAGCAGGTAGAGAGGAGCACATGGGCAGACAAGAGGAATCAAACACACTTCATTTTCCTATGTGCATATGTGGTTTTATGCATATGGTATTGGATTTGAATCCCCCTAACAGTATACTGTCTATGAAATGTCCCTTGCCCACCAAGTAATCCAGCTCATTGGCCTCATCATCTATCATTGATTGATCAAGCCATGGAGCTCTGAAGGGTGGCAAAGATCCATACTTATCGCTTTCCCCCCACATTATCTTCTTTGATCAGCAGAACCCTTTAGTATATAAATTGGTTACTGTGGATGAGACTTGAGGAAGACAAAAGGAACCTCATCAGAAGGAGGAGTTCATCATTAATTAATGATGATTATGGATTGCAGATCCAATATTTTATATCATATATCACATGAGGAGGTTTAGCTTATTGATTTGAGTTAGTTGCATGGTTATCTACCCAATAACATAAGCATTCATGACCTTGGCATTCATGTGGCTTCCTCTCTGCAACGTGGGAGGATTAGTTAATTGTCAATTAGGCGTATGAGTTGGCTAGCCAGTAGGCAAGAGACATTGCTGCATAAACATTGCTGACATAGTTTTTTAGATCCAAATCTCAACGTTACTGATGCTTATCTATCACTGACTTCTTTCTCAAAGCATGTCAAACAACCCACTCGTGGAGGCATTAAACTATCTTGGCATATGAGCTGGGCGAGCCAGTAGGCAAGAGACAGTGCACAAACAGTGCTGATATAGTTGTTTAGATCCAGATCATCTCTTCACATTTTCCCAAGTCAATGCAGATGAAGATTCCTTCTGTCTCTCATCCTTCTCCCACCATATATAGTCCATGCCATACCAGAGGTTTTTCCATCACAATTTTCTGCTCCAGCTCAACACAAAAGTTCTTAACTTTCAATATACCAAAAACCATCCATTTTTCTATCAATGGCAGCCACATCTCTCCACGTTCGATCCAACAGCTTGCCATCGAGGCCACACCCTCTAGTTTCAGAAGTTGAAGACAACATCAGCAGATTGAGAAGCTCACAATCTGCCTCTTCATCTTCGTCTTCAGTATCCAACAAGCTGAGAAGCCTGCAGGATTTACAAGACTGTGTTGAGAAGCTGTTGGCCCTGCCACTTAACCAACAAGCCTTGGTCCAGGACCAGAAGTTCCTGAACCAGATGTTGGATGGATCCCTGAGGCTTCTGGACTTCTGCAACACAACCAAGGATGCCTTGTCTCTGATGAAGGAATCTGTGTTTGAACTTCAATCAGTTCTTCGGAGAAGGGTACAAGGCGGTCTACATCTTAATGATGTGAAGCAATACATAACCTGCAGGAAGACTGTCAAGAAGGCCATCCAGAAAGCCTTGAAGAATCTAAAGGGAGTTGAGTGTAGCAGCATCGAGAGTCCTGAGATCGTTTCGGTGTTGAGAGATGTTGAAGCCATTACTCGCGACGTGTTTGAGTCATTGGCGTCATTCATCTCTCAACAAAGAAGGCCAAGTGGATGGTCATTGGTTTCCAAACTGATGCATCAGAGGAAGGTGGCCAATGAGCAAGAAGAAGAAGAGAAGAAGATAAATGAATTCGCTTTGGTGGATGCCTCACTGGAAGGTATCTTGGGAAGCAAGACAAACAAGTATGAGAAAGTTCAGAGCGATCTGAAGGATCTGGAGATGTGCATTGAAGATCTTGAAGAAGGAACTGAGTGCCTCTATAGAAGGATGATCAAAACTAGAGTCACCCTTCTTAACATCTTCAACTAGATCAATAGAACATGTAAAAAGTTTACCCTTGTATATGTACAATCTTCTTGGAAAGAGCTCTTTCTGGAACATAGATTCAGAATGAATAAGCTATACTAAACAACTTTGCCAAGTACATTCTGTGTCCTCTTTACTTGCTTCCACTTTCATCTCAGTTTCGACAAGGAGAAACACCGGTTGAGCCTAATTAACCCTGAAATGCCAAAATTTCAACTACCCAGATGAAAAAGTTTCGAACTTTGTTGTGACTCTATTACTCGTAACCTCGAGATTGTCAACGTTCATGAAAGGTGAGCTGTCAGGATTCCAAGGCATTGGTAGCTGAGCTGGTGTGTCCCTTGGTTAGGGACTCAATGGAATCTTTTGCACGCTTAGCTTGCTGATGCATAGTTTTATTCAAATGGCACTATGAAATTACAAAGCTATTAGCTAAGAATGTGGATCTTGCCTTCATGTAGGGAAGCAGCCATGTCAGAAACCTTAGGTCGTTTACAGAATTACAGGTGATGGTAAACCATATACATAGATCTGAAGTCATTTGATCAGCTAACCTCCTGAGAAAAATTAACAAGGCCATTTATTACTCTCTGTCCAAAAACTAAGCTCACCAAACTGCAATGCTGGGAAAGAATGTGACCACTTAAAAGCCATGCTGCTGCAAACTGATGGAACCTGAGGCAAAAGAATAGAAAGAACAGACCAACATATTCCCAGACAGTAATATCAATGGATTTGATTGGATTGGAAAATAGACATAGTAAAGGTGGTTGGTCAGATTAGAAAAGATCCTAATACGAAAACCCATCTCTGCATCATTCATAGTTTGATCTTTTCATATCATTCCAAACACAGCCCACTCGTGTAACAGGATTAAACAAGTTGGAAAATGAGTTGGAGAGCTGGGTTGGCAGGAGACACTGCATTCAATACCGCTGAAAAGATATACAGTTGGTTTGATCCAAGTCCACTCGTGCAATTGAGGTCATGAAAGATTAAACTAAACCCGTGGGAATGAGCTGGAGATAATCGTAGGCAAGGCAAAATTGCATGAATATTGCCCTAGAGATATGGTTGTTTTAATCAACTAGATCCTTTTCATTTGGACTTCTCATTAATATTCATCCTTGGCTCCTCCACCCTTTAAAGAAACTTGTAAAAATGATTTTGGCAACAAACTTGGAATAAAAATCTTTTGTTAACTTTGTACTCATCGTGAACCAATTCATCGGGATAACTCGAACCATTGTGAGAGGTCCAAGCATGGAACTTATGTCATATTCACTTGAGCATCCCTAAACGCGAAAGAAATCTTTTCGCTGATAGGTTGTCGTACTATGTGCTAAAATCAACAGAGTTTTGATGTGACTCGTTTCATAAATACTTTGATCCTATGTGAAATATCAATTCCCATCAATGACGAGAGTTGTTGGGAGAGAGACAAGTGTGCATAAGAATAGAACCAGATTGAGTTGCCTGCTAATTGTTACATTTTGTTATAAACCTGTTCATCTTTGCTAAAACTTTCAAGTTCTGAAGAACTAACCTATGTCTGCTGCTTAGCAACCAGCTCCACTCATCACACAGTTTCTTACTTATGGAAATGTATACCTTTTTCACATAAGTAGATTTATAATTTAAAGCATGCCAACTCAACAAGAAGCCTTATTAGTAATTACCACAAGGGAGGTGTTAATACTAATCCAATCAACCCTTTCACTCAAGACAAATCACCACTTTGTGTCGTTGCTGTTAAGGTGTGATTATTAATCTGATCATTATTTGGTGTCCTGGCCTTGTATGTGAATGTCATCTAAGCTTTCATCGATAGAAAATCATAAGAGTAAAGGGTGTATATCACCTTAACTATCCCTAATCACGAGGCTTAAAATTGGACATGAAAGAAGCAAAATGGAGACTTAATTTTTCCAGGGAATGATCATGTGACATGTTCTTTTCATGTATTGAGTATCAAAATGTACAAAAAATGTGCAACATATGTACTGTAATGTGTATACAAGTATGTTTTTCACATATTATGAGCATTCAGAATGAAAGCTCTTGTTTTGATGAGATGCCTAAACAAGCACTCAACTCCCTCTTCAAGATCCTCAATGCAAAGTTCCAAGCTTTTCAGCTGAGCTCGAACTTCGTCCGAAGATTTGTGCATCTTAAGTGAGGCATCCACATCTGCAAACTCATTCGCTCCTCCACAAACTCCTTTCTGGTTTGTCATCAGCTTGGAAACTAACGGCCAGCTGCTTGGCTTGGAGCTTGACTGAGAAATGAATGACAACAAGCACCTCAAAACCTCGACAGCAATTGATTCAGCTTCCTTTAACATGTTGATCGTCTCGTTGTCACTGGATAAAGCGGATTTCTTGCTATCCATACCCTTCAAGGCCTTCTGAATTGCTTTCTTCACAATGTTTCTAGACTTCAGGTATCTTCTGGTTTCTCCTTCCAAATCATTTTGCCTTCTACGGATAGCGGATTGAAGTTCAGCCACCGCCTCTTTCATCTGTGACAAGGCATCCTTGGCTGTGTTGCACAAGTCCAAGAGCCTCAAAGATCCATCCAACAACTCATTGAAGCATTTCTGGTCATTGGCTAAGGCTTGTTGGGTTGTTGACAGCTGCAGCAACTTGTCAACACAATCATACAAATCCTGAAGGCCACTCAGCTTGTGGGAAATGGAAGATGATGAGGTAGAAGCAGCTTGAGATTGTCTCAACCTGCAGACTTGCTCATCGATCTCTGAAACCAGAGGGTGGGACTCTATAGGCAAACTGTTGGACCTAGCATGGAAAGAGAGAGCTGCCATTTTTGTGGGTTTTCTTTTGGGTGAGTATTAGAAGATGGGAAAGTTTGTATCTTTTTGCAAGTTCAAGAGAGAAGATGATGAATGAAGAAACTGATATTGCCTTCCATTGCCATCCACAGCAAGTTTATATAGATGGAGAGGAAATGGGATGTTATCTTCCTTTCGGTGCCATGATTATCTGCATATGGGCATTTGGATTTTTGGATCCAACAGTATCCCAACATTGTGTCCCCATTGTCCCTATCTCCAGCTCGATTCCTGCATCAATGATTCAGTAGGTGTGGCTGATAACAGCAACAAATTCATTCACAAATAATGGCACCATGCAATTTTCAACTCCCCCACGGATGGCTTGTTTTTGTTTTCTTCCCCCTTCTGTATCGATCTGGTGCATGAACCAAATATAGGCAAAATCCTTGAATATTGCTGTCTTCATTGATGATCACCGCCTCCTCTTACTGTCATTGAAGGAAGCTTGGTTCTAGGACAAGAATGTACATCCTCTGGTACTATCATATCCGGTTATGATTTTCTACCTGATATTGGTTTCATTATGAGTATCTTAATGTAGATTTGTTGCTTTTGGTTCATGTATATGGTCATTAGGATTTAGGACCCTTATAATTGCAATACCTAGTTGATTTGACAAAGATAACCTCAAGCTTCTTTGTGGCAATGACAATCATAGAGGAGTGTCAGGAAATCATATTAAATCAATGTTAAAGTATCTTTGACAGCTCTAAAGGACGAGACAAATTGGTTCCATTCCATATAGATCCAGTTGCAACACTTTCTTGGAAGTACAGAAATGCTCTGAGTTTTCAACATTTTCTGAAGGCTTCTGAGGGAGAAAGACAATCAACACCATGCGAAATGAATGGAAATGTGATCTCTCATAAACAACTGCTCATTTCAATTCTGTGGAGAATAAGATCAACTAATACAAACTAAATTGAGGGTTCAAACAGCAAGCATGAAACGGAACTACTACCGACATTTAACTAGAAGAAATTTGTAATCAATCCCTGCCCTATTCAGCAAAAGGAGATCTGGCTTGTCGACGTGCTTGGCTCAAATGGATGCTGAAGTTTTGACTTTGCAATGTGTGCTCGATGCTCCAAGTGGCTGCAACAGAAACTCACAAACGGAGGACATGATGCGTAACCGTCATCAATCAATCAGAGGGAACAGCGGTTGCAGCTGCATCATCGGCAGCATGATATTGGTCAATAGATTCTTCCAAGCCATCCAAAAGGGAAGTAAGGTACTCCAGCTTGTCGAAGCAGATTTCATTCGATATCCTCGAGTTGTAGTCACACTTCTCAAAAGGACGGTACTCGCACGTACTTTTGATTTCATTCCGCAAAGTGAACTGGATGTCCTGCGTACCATTATCACCGTCAACAACAAATTGACTCCAGTGAGAAACTAAGTGTGGAACTAAGTACTACTGTTAGATTCTACCTTCTCTTTAACAATACAAGAAAACTTTGTTTAACCCCAACAGAAAATGAATGAATACCCCTCGAGCAATCCATGAATTACACTATCCATAGCCGAGTATCATCTTAAAGTTATATGCTTGACAGAAAGAGAAATCAATCAGTGCACCTTGATCATTTGCATGAACTCACGGCAATGGTTATTGATGAATTCCTTTCTGGGTCCCATGGGATTCGCCAGTTCATCCATCACTCCTCCAGCGAGTTCCAAAACCTTGACAACGGTCTGTGAAAAGCCCGAATCAATCGTGTAAGACAATGTACGTGGATAATCATGTTACTTGCCGAAGAAAGTTCCTCGGGTTCCAACTAAAAGACAAACTTTACACCAAAAACCAATCTCAACCTGAAAGAAGAAGCAGAACATTCAGCAAATTGATTACCTTTTCCACATTCTGAAGACGGTGCAACGAGGTATTCTGGGTCTGGGACTCCATTACACGGTTCCCTCTTCCTTTTCTTCGCTTTCAATCTGTCTCGCCTACCCTGAAACCAGCGAAGGAACCCCTAAGCTCACATACTTCAATTCCAGTACAGCAGTGAAGCATTCACATAAGTGATTATTCCGTTATCTGAGCATTCTGATCACTGAAGCTTAGCTGAAAATGGAAGCCATTGGTAGGGATCTCATCCATCAAATGAAGGACTCCCGACAGAAAAAGATAACGATACGAACCTGATAGCGCACTTGCTTGGATCGCGAAAGCACAGATTATACTCTGACCAGCTTGTTGAAGTTGCAATGAATAAAATTGTTCAAGGAAGCATTAGGATCCGACCGCGACTGTGATCAAACTTCGGGGGAAATTGGGTGTTCGGAACCCTAGAAATCGAGCTGAGATGAAAGGAAGGGAATCTCGGAGATGAATTTTCGTTTCCCGCGAATGCTGATCAACTTCTGTTTCTCAACTAACAAAACGGCGATGCTTGGGCCAAATATTAGTAAGCCCATCGGTGATTTATATGTCCTTGGCCCAAAATTACATCAGGCCCAATTTGGAAACGAGCCGTGATTGGGAAAAAAACTGAAAACAACACCATTTCAAGCATTTTTTTCACCCTTTATTACTACATCATTTTACCTTGTAAATCCAGCTCCGTCAATACAATTTTTGTAAAAATTTACCAGGGTTTAAGGTTCATAATAACATGGGAACGAATAGCTGAGGAGGAATCCGAATAGAACTAGGAAAACTTCAGTGAAATAACCGCAAAATGTTTAGCATACATACAATACAAATACTATGTACATACAGATACACTAATTAATGAGCTAAACCGGACTGGTCGAACACAGATGAACACAGTTTCTTAAAGTACATGGTTCCTGCTGGCTGCTGCAACAGTTAATGAATGCTGGGGCCAAGTTGTCGTTGCTGATAAAAATGTGGAGCAGCCTCCGGTAGCCATGAGGGTTCGATGGTGATCACATTCTGCATGTACTGGCGATCGGTCGACACTAGAGAATGGTAAACAACCCACTTCGGGTTCACTCTGCAGAGCCAGAAACAAATTGTCTGTTAGCTGAACACAAACAAATGAACGCAAACCGTGCGTAACAAGCTTAGTAAACTGACCTGAACAATACAGAGGAGGGATGGATATAAACTTCTTGAGAGCCTCTAACAGTCTTGTACATCCCGTTATGGCCATATGCCTACAGCGGAAAAGAATGACCAAAAATGGATGTGATGTGTCATATACGGAAATCCTCTAAGCAAATCTAGTTGTAATGGATAAATCAAGTCGTACTCACTTCTAAGCGGCATGCATTGGCAAAGAATCCGGCAGTTACTGCTTTACGCAATACCTATTAGAGATGACAAGAAAATGAATTAGCTATATGAAGTCTGTAAAGAGTACTGCTTCGAAGCAAACACTTACAGTCATATCTGATTCACATGACTTAAGGACTATGCCCAATCTCTGTGCTATTCTCTTGAGTTGTGCTCTTATTTCGATAACCTTTTTCTGGAGAAGAATGAAAGAAGAAAAAAACACAAAGTTAAACGCATGGCATCCTGGAATAAAGCAAGAGAGATCCTCAGAAAAGTAACAAAACTTTGTTTACTGCTTGCTAAGCACAGGTGCATACCATTGCATGAGCATTTACGAAATTCCTGCGACACCAATCCGAAGATTTACCCGACTGGAGAAAACCCTTGTAAACATTTAGGAAAGTAACATGGTCTCCCTGCAAGGACAGATTTCCGATTTTTTATTGATTCATTATTAGCAATTTATTTGTTTGGTCCCGAGACTGCGGATCAGGGTGATCAAAAGACGAAGATACCTCTGCTGCTGCAAATCTCAACTTTGCTTCGTCTAGCTCCTTTTGCATTCCTCGACCAGAGACCCAAATAGACTGCCAAAAAGGAATTCCCCATTTAATGCAATCAATGTCGAGTCCTAATATTACGATGAATGCGTTGAGGCCTCCAGGAATTCCCCGTTTATGACCAAATCCAGCTAAGTGAAGGACATACGCAATGACAGAAGTATTAAGGTTAGAGAGAATTCACCTGGATGGATAGAGCTGCAGCAATTGTAAGGATCTCCTCAGCACATCCCAGTTGGTCTGAAGCTAATATCATCTTTGAGATCATTGGATCCTACAAAATTAGCAGCAATACCTTTAGCTTCTATTCAGTACAACTTGGAAGCAAAAGAGCGGGAAACAGAAAACTCTGCATAAGAAGAATATACTAATAAAAGCAATGTATGAGGGAACCTAAAACTGTAAGGGAACATACCAGAGGAATTTCTGCCACTTGAAATCCAACAGGTGAAGTTAGTTTAGCATCATCATCCAGAACTCCTAAAGAATAAAGAACTTCAAGCGCCCGGATCATTGCTTCAGATGATGGCGATGCTGGCCACTTAAATCCAAGTATGTTATCTATCCCCAAGGCTTTTAACTGAGACGTAAGAAGGCAAGAGTCAGATCCGTTATTGAAAGGAGACATCCCTCTTACAGTTACAGAGTGCAATAGTGAGGCTACAAACACTTGGGGAAACAGTCTGTAGCAGGCTAATTACTTATGGATTAAAGAATATACAGGCATAAACCTGAATCACACAGGAAACCAACTTTGACCTCTGTATCTCTGGGATTCCCTCAGAAGACATTTGTTTCACAAAATATTCCTCTGTGTACAACCTGGTCACAAGAAACAATGTCACAATATGGTCAAACCAGTGGAGTACCCATGAAAGACCTCTGTTAGAAAAGTCTATTGTCCCTTCGCAAGGAGATCACTAAGTGCATGGCCAAGTATCACAATGAATATGAAGATTTTCATCTTGTAAAGCACAATAAGCAAAGATAACACGTTTGCTAAACATTGTTTGGCATGCAACATTAGAAGAGGTATCAGAGTGTCAAACTACCAACAGAGTTTACTAACTTCTCTAAAAAACAAGTACGAGAGGGAAAACTAGCATTTGCCAAAACACACCTGTAGCATTTTCCAGGTCGAACTCTTCCAGCCCTACCAGCTCTTTGTCTAGCAGATGCCTTAGATATTGGTGCCACAACCAGATTCTCGATATCAGAAATCTGTACGAAATTAAAAGCAGTAAGAATTAACTGAAGAAGCATATACAATTATACATACAAAATCAAGTATCATGGTCATGTCTCATGCAAACAACTTGGAAAATATAAGTTCTATAAGTAGGTACTTGAAATATCATCCATGTTACTCCTAAAAAAATATGACAACCAGATGAAGAGTCCTGTTTCTGTAACTATATGTTCTACTATTTAAATGTAGCATTTCCACAAATCGTTCGGTAGAGCAGTAAATCATACTTATCACAACTACAGCTAGATAAAGTGGCTGAAAATAATCATCAATATAAGCAAAAAAAGTAGTCAACAAATACCGGATTATAGAACCGCTGTTTTGAGAATCCACTATCAACAACATAGACAACGCCCTGCAGGAATGAGGTAATGCTTAATGGCTCACTTTTCATATTGCGAGCTAATACTGCTTTGGCGAAGTGCTGTACTAGAGCAGTGGAACGTTACCTCCATAGTCAATGATGTCTCAGCTATATTGGTCGATATAACAACTTTCCTCTTCCCTCTAGGAGTGGGAGAAAACACTAGATCCTTCACAAGAAAGGCCAAGGAATAATGAGTAAGGATTATTTATAAATTTGCACCATCTGTCAGCGACACCAAAATAGGCTTGCTGAATACCTGATCCGCACGTGGAAGACCGGAAAACAGAGGCAAAACAATCAACCCTGAAAACAAGAATAGCTCAATTTATAATCTATCAGAAACTGGACACGTTAAATTTAAGCATAATAAAGGAAACCCAATAATATATATGATGCTTCCAGCAGAATACATTGGAAGCACTTGCTCCGCCTAAATTAACTGAAGGAGTATAATTGAGCTACTTTTAGAGAATCTCCATAACATAACGGTTTGTTTGTGCTAAATTGTGTTAACACTCTGTCATACTTGACATAGCAAGTAGAAACAAGTCTTTAGTCAAAACCATGAACCACCTCAAAACACAGTATCAAAGATCCCCTCCATATCATTTCACATGTTATACAGATATGATGTTGATAATACAGCATGTCATGGAAATCCAAAGCATTTAGAAGTTGTACTATGACGTAAATTGCATATTAATGTATACGGCCAGATCATATTGATAATTTACCATGAGATTTTTTTCCATGAGATTGAACTTCTTCAGTAAGCAACCTAACAGCAGCATCAATGTCATCCTGACCCGTTAGAAACACTAAAATATCACCGGCAGGTTCCTGAACAAGAAATGAAAATAGTCAGGATAAGACATAAGTAGGTCGTTTTAAAGCCAAAGAACTCTTCATTGATGCAACAAAAGCCTTTGTACATAAACTCAACACACACAACATGGTAAAGCTAGCCAACATTCTCAACTTGTAGAAATGACGTCCATTTTACAGCAGGATAAGAACTTGTCATCAAGAATTTGGATCCCAAATCCGAACCACTGTTCATACGAACAGAGGTTTTGCTAAGAAGTTCGATCAAAACCTCGAATCAAAAGGGAGTAAACTGTATCATCCTTCTATTGCACAGCAGTATCAGTGTTGAACATAAACTGGTCACATCAAAGGAGCTAAGCAGTCTAAGGCTCTTGGTCCGAATTTGGTTTAAGATTCATATTTTATTGATTTTCGGTGCCACCAATTTGTCTTGTCACATATCTAATAACCCTTTAACTATGATACAAAGAGCACACAAACATTTATCAACAGGAATCTCAACTCATTGAGTGATTTTCCTCAACTTGAAAACCATAAATTTCATCTTGTACACTTTCTGAATGTTACCATGTTTACTGACACCATAAACGAGAAAGGAACAGTCATGCAACATAAGTTCTAGAACCAAGAAAATTATATAAGAAATTTCATATTTTGTAGCCATAAGATCACCTGATCATGAATCAGAAGCACCGTAGATACTGCAGCCTGGACGTAATCAGGGACAGGCTCTTCCACATAATGAATTTCTACATTGAACCCCCTCCCCTGAAACATATACCAGAGAAATGAAATCTCAATTATTGAAAGGAGACTTTACGAAACATATACTGTGTATGATGAATAACCATCTGAAGGACCTATTGAGTACTAAACACAGCTAGCTTGGAACAGACCTCAACTGAGAGAATAGCTGGCTCTTTGGATGGACCAAGATCAGTTGCCCCAGCTTCCTGATGCCTCTTGCTGGGAGACATCAATTAAAACCACAAGATTAGTACTATGGCTTGAGCAACAATAAGTAAATCATGATTAAAATGTAAAGCATTGTTGCACAGTTCCAACTTGAAAGAGAAACAAAAACTGTTTGGTCAAAAGGGGTAGGCCCAGCTTTGCCCTAACGCTAATTGAAATACCTGCTTCTGAAGAAAGAAGCCATAGACTTTGCCTCAATCGTAGCAGAAGAGATTATCAGGCGCAAGTCAGGTCGACGGCGTTGGATCTGGATCCGAAAAATTATTAAAATAAACAGAAGCACTCAAAACCACTTAAGAACTTACTCAAATTACCTTTCTGAGGAGGCCTAGCAAAATATCAGTTGAAATAGATCTTTCATGAGCTTCATCCACCATTATAACACTGAGATGAAAGATTTGGAAAAGTGTTATTGTCGGTTCAGGGGATAAACGAGAAGGAAACAAAAGGCTAATCACTTGTCAACATATCCACAAAGAATAATGAAAATCTAATATGGCTTGTTCCTTGGGCGATGTCATACACACGATTCAACTTCTAGGGAAAAAAAATGGTTTTCATAAACAGGTCGACATATTAAAGTAGTACGATCAGAAAGGAATGTTCGAAGAAACAAACACATTCTTGTGAGAATGGAAGGTTGCAAACTGCAACTGGAATAAGCAGTTAGTGAACCAGCTCCTACAATTACCTATATTTACTCAAAAGTGGATCATCCATCATTTCTCTCAGTAAGACTCCATCTGTGAGAAATTTTACCACTGTTTTATCCTGCATCAAGAGAAAGTACTGTCAGCTCTGTGAGGAGTGAGAAACACAGCAGCCCATAAGGCTTGTCAGATAGCTCAAATCGATCAGCACCATAACATTGTATACAATAGTTTTCTCAGTAAGAAATACCACACAAAAAAAAAATCGGATTCAACAAAGAGAAGCTGTCTAACCGTATTCGTAACATCCTCAAATCTAATGGTGTAGCCAACTTCCTCTCCCAGCTTTACCCCCATCTCTTCAGCCACCCTTGAAGCAACAGCCTGCAATTTGGAATTAATAAACCACCATTGTCTTGTTTCTTCTAGCAACTTAACTAGAGAGCACGATACTGGAAAAACAAGTTTGCAGGAGCACCTGCACAGCCAGCCTTCTCGGTTGGGTGCAAGCAATTACTCTTCCACCATCAGCCCAACCTGCTTCATTAAGGAACTGAAATGAAAACCGTCACTGTCTGAACTAGTCATCTACTCCAACAGTTGAGACCAACTAACCAACATTATCCATCACAAATTGTAAAATGCAGCTTCTGGCAAAGCACATTCACAAATTATAATCTCCATTCTCTCAAAACAAAACTACAACACCGCCATTCTTGATTGCTTTCATAAATTCCCAACAGATGCCAAGCACGCATTCAAACCTGAGGAATTTGAGTGGTCTTGCCACTACCAGTCTCGCCGACGATTATAGTAGTAGCGCGAGTCTCCACCAGATAGAGAATGGCCGTCCGGTACTTGTACACAGGCAACCTCTGCCTCAGCTTGTCAATGCTGCCATAGCCGAAGCTGCAACACGAATTTGAAGAAAAGCAACAAATTCACCAGATGATGATTAGTCTTTGCTGGAATAATTGAACTAAAGGCTGCCGCCGCCCCCGCCGCGAGCGAAGCTGCTGGTTATTTTAAGAGGTAAAAATTGATTAGCAATACCCTGAGGAGGAAGAAGAGGACGAGGCTGAGGGAGAGAAAAACAGTACGCCTCCCTCTCCGTCATCAAGAAGTTGCGGCCGCTCGCCTCCGGGCTTCCAGAACTGCGACATCCGGTAGAGAAGAAAGTGGGCGACGGCGAGGGTGAAGAGACGGTCACCGACGAGGTTCCGACAATGAGGGATGAGCGAGCAAAGGGTCGTACCTTTTGGGCTTGGTTAATGGAAATTATGTATTCAATTCAATGGACAAGCGCCTGAGAGCCCATTAGTAAATGAAGTTACCTTAGGTTGAGGCCCAACTAAGTCAGACAAACGTGATTTGAGCCCATATACTTAAATCAATGTGTGTTCAAAGCCCAACTAAGCTCAGTTTAGCTCGTTTATCAAAGAGTAAAGTCGAGTTGTATTTGAACTCATTTATTAAAATTCTATCTAAATAGTTGAGCTCTTAAACTAATTTCTAAGTTCATGTATAAATTAAATACTCTTCTATTTTTATGCCATGAATGATACATGTGATTGATTTGCCTCATGTGAAATACTTTGTTTGTATCATATTATTTAGTCCATATCATGTTATTTTATAGTAATTACTAATTAGTATCAGTGGCGGAGCCACCTTAGCTCCAGGAGGGGCTACAGCCTCCCTCTTCAACTTTCAAATCTAAGGCAAATTTACATGTAAAAATTGTACCAAATTTGAGAAATAGACTAGTTGGTAAGGCTCTAGCCCCCTTCTTCAAAGACCATATTCAAATCCTCCAAACGAAATTTTTTAGCTCTCCCTCGTTTAGATTTTTGACTCCATCACTAATTTGTATCTAAATCATTTATAATAATAATTTATCTTTTAAATTATAATAAGACATATTTGCTCGTATACTCAAAATCTCAACACCGTTATATATAATGATTTCACAACAAAATTTTACTGTAACGGTACGATTCTCAACATGCTATTTTTGTTATCCTTTTTTATAAATCGCCATTCCTATTGACCGAGAGAACCGCTCACTAATTACCGCGCAACTCTCTCCTCCTTATCAGAAGATTTTGTTACATTGGATTTTACCTATTTAAGCAAGTGTAGTACTGAAGTAGCCTATGTTTTACTAGTTGCAAAATCACCTCACTATCATCAATTAACCCATATCACACTTTGAGAAAGAACAACGAAAAGAGTAAAAAAAAAAACCAAACCAACAATGAGAAGCTCATCAGCCACCTTCGTTTTTCTTCTCCTATTGGTTTGCCTCCTTTCCGGTATGGTTGTCGACGACATACATATCTTTTTTCGGTCGCGTGCATGATGTGGTGTATTAATTTTCTTTTGTTGGTGTTTGGTTATATCAAAATAGCAGGGAATGAAGTCACGGCACAACACCACGCGGATCTCTGCAAATTCAGAGAACTTGGAAGCGACCCCGGGTATGTGGTTATGAGGCACAGGAGATGCAACGACAGATGCCAGAAGATATATGGATATTTCGTTCTCGGATGGGTGGAGGATGGAGCAAGTATGTGCTCGTGTTTCAAGCGTTGTCACCTGCATTAAGTGAAGAGATGCATGCCCGGTGTTCTCTCTCGATTACTAGTCGTTTTTTGGGAGCAACGTAGGTCTAGTAATAATGATAAATAGACGTAGAGAGTTACGTTGGTTTTTTTTTTTTTTTACCATTATAGCTGCCGATTTTATCTTTTAATCATATAGCTACAATGTAATAATGAAGTGTTGAAGCCCGCTTGATCTTCCAACTTCCCTTCCGTACCAGCCGAATCCCTCACGACTGAACCTGCACTCACAGAGGCGGGCCTTGTGGCCCGTTAGTCCTCCAACGCTCAAGTCAGGATCTTTCTTAGTGAGAGAAGTGCTTGTAATGCACGATTTTAGTGAGAGAAGCCAAATTGAGTAAATGCTTACCAACCTCGCTATTTATAGCCGATCGTTGCTTACCTGGACCTTCCTGTACGGATTTCCACGTCACCCTTACATTTAATGCGAGTTATTTCGGGCGCTCCTTCTGAAGGTGATTTCGAGCGCCTTCTTTAGGTGCGCCCAACTCCCAAGTGCATCCTAGGCGCCTAACGCGCAAGTACTACCATTCCGGGCGCTCAGGTCAACTTGCCATTCCGATCTAGACCCATGGGCGCCCATCACGACCCACTCCAGAGTCTTGAGTGAGCCCAGCTTTCCTCGACTATTTGGACTTCATGCCTCTTAATGGGCCTCACTCACATGTCGAGGCCTTCTCGTTCGTGCACCCCCAACATGAAGTAATTTGAGAGGTACTTTTGGAGTTCCCATCAACAGGGGCGGAGCCAGTGCAGCGGCCGGGGGGGCCATGGCCCCCCCGGGAATTTCTAGAACGCGAATAATACTACGTAGTGGGAGAAGCATGACATGAATCTCGGTATAGTGTAGTGGTTAAAGTTGCTGATTCTAACCTGGAGGTTGGCAGTTCGAGTACTATTAGAGCCTAGTTTTTATTTTTACTCTTCATAAACATTTTCTACCTTCTATCCTCTTACTAAATGAGAACCTCAATATATGTACACATTTCAATATCTATTATTTCAATTTTTGGGTTTAGTTCCACTTTAGCCGAAATTTATACAAATGCTTTATTTTTTTGTATTTAATTATTGGATTATCAACTAACCTAGTATGTATGTATTGTGCTATGCGATCTTGTAAGAAAGTGTTACCCGTTAGATTATTAGTTTTGTTTTGACTCTTCTAGACTCTACTGTTACTGGTGAACGGGCTTTTTCTGTCATGCAATTAGTGACTAAAATACGCAACAAATGAGTGATGATTTTCTTGTCGGTGGTCTTGTTATTTATATTGAACGAGATGTAATCGACCCTTTCCGTATAGGTAGTATTTTGAGTGATGTGATATTTCTTATAGTATTATTTTGTTTGAGAATTTTTTTGGCCCCCCGGACTTGAATTCCTGGCTTCGCCCCTGCCCATCAATATTCGATTCATGAATAATACTATACATCAGGGATGACAATTGGAACCCATAATATTGGTATTTACCCGGCCCGAAGTATCGTGGGGCGGACATGAATTACTACTTCCGACCTGTTTCATCTCACAGTACTCTCTCTGGACCTGTCCTGACTCAAAAAAAAAAAAAATGAATATGTATTTGTAATTCTCCTATTTCAATATTAGTTTCACCCAATGAAACTTTTAATAGGTGTACGACTTGACCTTTCATTTATTTACGCTCAATTATTCATTATGTTATAACTCTTCTTCATTCATAAAAAAATTTGTTATGTTTATGTTTCTCCAAATAATAGGAGAAAACGGACAGTACCACCCTGCCCGCACTTGTATTACTTTATCTTACCCACACTCAGCGCAAAGCAAATATGAGTATCGACGTACCATGCGTGCCACGCCGCTCGCACCAGCCATACCTAACTATACTTACCAATTACCATCAGCATACAAATGTGACAATACTTTGAAATGTAGAATACTAGCTATATACTGAAACAGGCGACATTGCTGTAAAACCCAATTAACTCATACTTTTTATTTAACTCATGATCGACTAGAAAGCAAGATCCTCTTTATGAACATTATTCTAACCAGGTACATATGATCAATTTAATGAATATCAATTATCAGCCACAAGGCTTGTAGCAGAAGCAAAAGACCATCCAATCACACCACCCAAGAACAAATTGCCCAAATCTCTCTTGGCATGCGTCGTTGCATGATCGGCGAGTGCACCCGTTCAGGCTGCTCGCTTTGACATAAGTAAAATGGCAGAGCTTCGTATAACTTTCTGCCACGACCTCGTTCCCTGTGGTTACGAATTCAACAAAGAGTGGCAAATCATCAAATGCTAAGTACGTAATAAACATTAAACAAAGAAAAAGATGGCAGATAATAATTAAATTAATCACCGTGGATGAGACAAATGAGTAGGAGAACTAAGGCGAATGCGGATGATGAGCTTCTCATGGTTGATAATTGTTCACCCTTTAAAAAAAATAAATATATCAAGTGTGTATGATGTTGATCAAAACTCAAATATATAAAGGACGAAGTTTTTACAATAGAATTTTTTTTCACCGCGTAAACCGTATTGTTCATATTACAGTCCGTAACTTTTGGCGCCTCAAACATGAGTGAGGACTTTTTAAGATAATACAATACATTTATTATCGCTTGGTCGCACTACCGCGCAACTTTCTCGCCTACTTGTTAGAAGATTTTGTTACACGTAGACTTACTTTATTGCTCTCCATTCGCTTTAATGATGTTTTACAAGAAATTTTTACTGTAACCGTATGAGTATTTTACAGTCCGTAATTAATGGTCTTTTAATTAATATTAATAGTTTCAGTAAGCACTTTCAAGGTAATGCTATATGTTTGTTATCATCCGATCGCATTACCGATGATACGATCCCAAACGGATCAAAGTACAAGTGGAAATTGTTGGGTCAAGAACCCAATTAAACTTGCTGGAAAAACCTGGATTTTTGGTTAAGTGTAGAAGCTGTTTTGGGTAGCTCTCTTTGCAGGTATTGTTCTCTCGATTTGGTGGATGAAAATGGGGTTTTAAGGGTTTGTTTTGTAGGTGGCAACTCCCTTTACAGCTTGGAGTGTCTGGGAGCTCGAGGCAATGCTGGGAAGAGTGACTTTCGAGCTCAACAAAAGTCTATGACAACACAGTCAATCTGCCAGGTTTTGCCTAAGGCATGAGACAGTTTCGGGAAGGCCACTTTGAAGCTCAAGGCACGACGAATGGCTGGGAATCGAGCTTCAATGTTTAGTCCAAATGAAAGTTCACATTTTCTAGTACATAAACAAGGTATTGGGTGATTCAAGCGGGCTCGGGAGGAGGGGGAACGAGGGTCTCCAAGTTGACATCAACACCAGCTGGTTTCTCGCTATTCATTTTTTTTTAAGGAAAACAAGGAATTTTTTATCGTCGTATGTTTGTGTATATAACAGTTCATAACTTGTTCGGTGGGAACTTCCGAGATAAATACTGATAATATTATATGCTTGTTATACCATTGAATCGTTACCACTAGTTTCTTGCCTATTGTTACATGCAGACGCACTTTCTTACTTTTTATTTTTATTTATTTTAAGAATAACATATAGGTAGATGTTCTATATGAAAGCTCAAAGTCATTACAATCTGACAACTTTATTGATGGATCAACACGAACACCATAATTAGATTGATCTTAGTCACAAATCCATGTTACAATATCAACAACTTCAACTCAACACCCTGATTTCAACCCACCACAATCTGCTAATTACTTATCACTACATGAGCTGAAAGCTCTCAACCAAACTACCCGTTGGACTTAAATACAAACAAACACAACCAATAAACTAACAACAATGTAATACTGCATACGATACAATATCACTTATTTGAACAAAACAACATTGCTTCACCAAATTAAGACTTAATTTGATCTTCTGGGTTTGGCACCACTCCAATCCTTCTCCGCAGAGGATACGGATTCCTCAGTCTCCCAGGCTTCTTCCACGCCTTGATCCAACACCGTTCAATACAAAGCCACCACAAACACGGACCGAACCGTAAAATGTGGGTTGGACCACTTGATCCAGCCGGTCACAACTTTCTTCTCTGCAGCGGCATCATCATCGGTACTACAGCCCTGCTTGCTCTCAAACCTGACCTTGAATTCCTTGGTCTCCCCGATCTCGGAGAAGCGCAGCACCTTGGGGAACACCTCCACGGCAACAGCTTCTGCGTCGTCGACCCCGACAGACACGTTGTAGACCCAGCAGGTGCCTTGCCCGGCCGGCGCAACGTTGGTCAAGCGCCGCGGGACGGTCCTGGTCGCCCGGCACACCCGGCGGCTCAACCCGACCGAGATCGACGGGTAGTTCAGCGAAGATATAGCGTCTGGGTTGGCACCCCCGGCTGGGCAGCAGAAGCTCGGTGAGGCGGTCCTTGACATGGCCCTGACCGTTGTGGTGTTGTAGCCTCGGTAGCAGAGGAAGTGGAGGAATTCTTCCGTCGTGGTCTCGTAGACGAGACCGGGGCTCACCGCTCCGGCCGGGTGGACCAGCCCAGCTCCCATGTCGTATGGCCCCGCCAAGTCTCCCTCGTCGGTGGTGATCGGGCCCCGCGCATTGTTGGTCGAAAATGCTGACGATCATCACATCACGCAGTTACAAATTCCATTAAATGCTGGAAATTAACACCAACTATAGCTAAGCTAGCTAGCGAAACTATATGGTCCGACGACGATCGAACTTAATTACCTGTTGTCATGATCGCCGATTTCACGCCCGTGGGGCTGAGAAACGGCATCGCCGACTTTACATTGGCCGCCACGCCGGAGACGTGTGGGCAGGCCATCGATGTCCCGGTTTCTACTATGTAGGAGTAGTCGTTGCTGGCCCACGCGGCAAGAATGTCGACCCCCGGCGCCATTATGTCAGGCTACAAAAAAAATATATATTAGCATATACGTACGTGTCACTATAATAATAAGAATTAAATGAACCCACATTTCAATTAAAAATTACATGGGAAATATTTATTATATTTTTTATAACAAAAAGAAAGAAAAATTGCATGCCTCATTGCCTTGATAATATTGCCAGTGACATTGGATGGTCCCCTAGACGATTCAATGTACACCTGGGGAGATGGTTTGTACCCGAAGACGGTTACGCTGGGAAGAAAAGTCGCCACGGGTTTCCTGAATTTGATTAAAGTTAAGCAATACAAAGTAATTGTTAATGATCATCAAAGTTATGCGTTACAAAATCTAGATGTTAAAAAAAAAAACTCATGTTGTTATCACTTCTAATATGAATCTTACCGCGCATCTCGCCTCGAAATTATTTTAATTAATTACCTTGTAGAATTTAGGTAAGCTTTCATTTTAAAACTCTCTTGTGAACTTATGACCGTCGTAGGGTAGTGTTCCCTGAAGTTTGTGACTCTCCTCCTGACGTCATCCACCGTGATGAGTCCAACCCCGCCCTTATCAGGCACTTCAGCGTCTTGTTGGGTCACATGGGTAATTCCACCCACGCTGTTCTCACAAAAGACAATTTTCCCTTTGATTTTCGACGCACGCAGCGTCCCAACCCTACAATTCCTGTAATTAGAAAGAGACTACAAATTGTTAATTACGGGGACGATTAACGACTAACAGGGGGATCTTCTTTGTGGACAAGCACGATAAAAAAAAAAAAATCATTGTTGGATTAGCTGATTGAAGGGAAAAAAAGAGACCCACCTTGCGGCTTCACTGGTTACGTTCCGTTCCTTGGCTGCCTCGCCGGACGTCAATGGGTAGACAGCCGACCGGTTGAAGAACTTGGGAATCCCGAGCGCTTCACCCTGCAAGAAACTTGAGTTGATTAATGACCGGCAGAGATAGAAAGATACATGGAATCGATGGGACGATAAAGTAGTTTGCGTACGTACGTACCTTAATGATTGTGCCTTCACCCAGCAAGATGTGGTTCTGAATTTCTCTGTCTGTCGTCGAGCTCGCCACCGTCACAATCCACGGCGCGTCGTTGCCGATGGTGCCCGGATGCGGGCCAAAGTTGCCGCCGGCGCAGACAACCGTGATCCCTCTTTCCACGGCGTGGAAGGCCCCGATCGAGACTCCATCCTCGACCAAGAAATCGTGGAGGCCCTCCTTGTCCTCATCATCGTCATCTTCCTCGCCCACGGAGACAGATATCACCTTCACGCCATCGGAGATGGCATCGTCAAAAGCGCTCAGTATTGCTGCGTTACCGCACCCCAAATCGGGGTCGCAGACATTGTAAACAGCAATCCTCGACCGCTCTGACCCGCCTCTGGCCGTCCCGGCGGCGAGGCCTTCGTATGATGCCTTCACCTTCATTCCGGCGGCAATGGAGGCGACTTGGGTACCATGCCCGAAAATGTCTCTTGCGCTCCCATTCACGTAGGATCTTGCCCCCACAATTTTCCTAGTACCGGAGAAGAAGAAGAAGAAGAGAAGAAAAAAACGACTTGGTTGACGGTTGTTATTATTTCCAACAACAACAAAAATTTGTAACGTTATTATTGTTGTATTGTTTTCTCATGCACGTACCCGTTACATGCCGACTTATTGAAATCTTTCGATGTCTCGCATGTTCCGTTCCAGCCTGCTGGTGGGGGGATTCTCCACGCCTTGTCGCCTCCAAAGCTCGGCGACTCTGGCCAGATTCCGGTGTCGATGATGCCGATCACTATGTCAGAGGAGGAGTAGACCACGCTCCCCGTCGGTGACCGTCTCTTCACCCTCCGCTCCCCGTCGCCCACTTTCTTCTCCACCGGATGTTGCAGTTCTGGATGGTACCAAACATATAGTATTGTCTTGAAAGTGTTTTACTGAAACTATTGCCAATAATTACAGACGGTAATATACACTTACGGTTTTACATTAAAGATTTCTTGTAAAACTTTCATTATCATCATTTTTAAAGCGAATGGAGAGCAATAAAGTCAAGCCTGCATGTAACAAAATCTTCTAACAAGCAGGAGAGAAAGTTGCACGGTAGCACGACTGAGCGATAACAATTGTACTGTACTATCTTAAAAGTCCTCCTCACTCAAATTATTAAAAAGTCAGAGGCGCGCCAAAAGTTACGGGCTGTAATACGAACCATACGGTTTACGCGGTAAAAAAATTTCTATTGTAAAAACTTCGTTCTTATCCCTCCCATACTACTCGTTGTCTCTCGTTAACTAATCTCCTTTATATATTTGAGGTTTGATCAACATCATACACACTTGATTCTTTTTTTTTTTTTTAAAGGGTGAACAATTATCAACCATGAGAAGCTCATCATCCGCATTCGCCTTAGTTCTCCTACTCATTTGTCTCATCCACGGTGATTAATTTAATTATTATCTGCCATCTTTTTCTTTGTTTAATGTTTATTACGTACTTAGCATTTGATGATTTGCCACTCTTTGTTGAATTCGTAACCACAGGGAACGAGGTCGTGGCAGAAAGTTATAAGAAGCTCTGCCATTTTACTAATGTCAAAGCGAGCAGCATGGACGGGTGCACTCGCCAATCATGCAACGACGCATGCCAAGAGAGATTTGGGCAATTTGTTCTTGGGTGGTGTGATTGGATGGTCTTTTGCTTCTGCTACAAGCCCTGTGGCTGATATTCATTAAGTGATCATATGTAGCTAGAGCTAGCTAGCTAGAATAATGTTCATAAACAGCTATCTAGTCGATCATGAGTTTAATAAAAGTCTGAGTTAGAGCAATGTCTCCTGCTACACTCAAAATATTGTCACATTTTTATGCTGATGACAAGTATAGTTAGATTTGGCAAACGGGTGGTGTGTGAGGCGTGGCTGGCACGCGTGGTATGTCAATACTTGTATTTGCTCTGCGCCGAGTGCGGTTAAGATCGAGTAATACCGGTGCGGGTATGGGGCAGGGTGGGACCGTCCATTATCATCTATTATTTGGAGAAACATAAACGTAAAAATTAATATTTTCTTATGATGAAACAAAGGAGGGTGTTTTATGAACGAAGAAGAGTTACAACATAATGAACAATTGAACGCAGATAATTGAAAGGTCAAGTCGGGCACCTATTAAAAGTTTCATTTGGTGAAACTAGTACTGGAATAGGAGAAATAGAAATACATATTAAAGAATTTGAGATAGGACATGTCCAGAGAGACTGTGAGATGAAACAGGTCGAAAGTAGCAATCCATATCCGCACCATGATACTTCGGGCCGGGTAATATCAACATAGTGGGTTCCAACAGTCAACCCTGATGTATAGTATTATTGATGAATCGAATATTTAGGAATTAATAAAAAAGTATTATAGTATCTTTATATACATTAAAGTATCAAAGTAGTTGAAGGGTATATGTATAAAGAATTAAGGGATCTCCTAGAGTGACTTGGGTATAATTTTAAGTTAGGTAACTTATGTAGATCTAGACCATTAAAATCAGTTAAACATATTTTAAGCCGTTGATTAAGAAAAAAATAAAAAAAAAGAACGGAACGCCTTTACTGCCGGTCATTTCTTTCTTATTACCTTTTTTATTTCTTTCTTTATTCCACCTCAACGGCTCCTGCTTGATTTTATACGTTGCATGTATTTTATATTCTTTTTTATTTTAACTTTTCATAATTTTGGATGATATATTATAAAAAATGTTACGTAAGTCTTCCGTAATAACAGTTATTTCTTACGTAACAGTTAAATTGGAAGCGTTACGTAAGGTTTCCGTAATGACTTAACTCTTTACGTAACACGACATTAATACTCATCACGTAAAGAGACCTTCCATTACGTAAGGTTTCCGTAATGACATTTTACAACTGTTACGTAAAATACACATTCATTATGTAAAAGTTACGTAACGATAGTTATTTCTTACGTAACAGTTAAATCGAAAGCGTTACGTAAGGCTTCCGTAATGACTTAGCACTTTACGTAACGCGAGGTTAATACTCGTTACGTAAAAAGACCTTTCATTACGTAAAGGTTACGGAACGACAGTTATTTCTTACGTAACAGTTAAATCAGTAGCGTTACGTAAGGATTCCGTAATGACTTAGCATTTTACGTAACGCTAGGTTAATACTCATTACGTAAAGACACCTTCTATTACGTAAGACTTACGTAATGATCTTTTACAACTGTTACGTAAGATTACCATATGTTACGTAACCATTACGTAATGCCTATTGTATTTTACGTAATACGACCTGTGAAACCTGCTATAGCAGGTAAAAAAATTCAAGTTATCTTACTTCAAGTTACCGTAGGAAATCCCAAAGAATTAATTAATGCGTCAAAAGGCCAGTAATTTTTTTTTTATAAGGGTGTTAGTACTTTTTTATCAACCCCTTAATAAAGTTAACTTCATAATTATAGTATATTATTTACGATTTGTTCCCCTCCCCCACAGACCAAACTGGTTTATGCAACAACGGGCCCTCAACCTCCATCAGTATGGGCCTGTGTAGCAATTAGCCCAATTATCATTGTTGGCCCATCCTCCAACCTTTTACTATTCAACCCATCACTTCTGTTCTTTCCTCACCGTTAACGAACGACCGACTTTCTTAATTTAGAGGACTGCAAGGAACTTCCACAACCAACTTCCCGCGCTTCCCTTCCCTTTCTTCATTAGAAACAGTAATGTAAATCCCCTCTGTCAGCCTTCTTATTCCCAATCCGCCATTATTCCCTTCCCCCATAATCCACCTTCCTTCCTTCCCTTCCTTTCTTTCCTTCATTCCATTCCTATATCCCGCCAAGCTAAACTCCAGCACTTGCCATTAACATTCATTCATACTATAGATTCTTTCGGAGCAACTAATTGTGGTAGCAAAAATCTTCCACATTCAGCAAATTCATTTACTGCACTAAAGAATATAAGCAAGTCCAGGAATTGAAGGAACGAAAGACTAGATAAGGTAAAAAGAAGGGACGACTCTGTTTTTATAAGCAAAGCCACAATTCAGTCACTTACTGCCTGATCATCTCGTTACCAAAAAAAAGCAGAGGACTCTGTTTTTTTCCCTTTGTTCCGATCTGAAGTTCTAAGCAAAAGCACAATGTCTTTGTCTTTTCGATACTTGATCAACCCGAACTACCCATCCGGTTCTACGGAAGACCCAGCTCCGGATTGCTCGATCTCGATGAAGTCGAGATCGATTGGGTCGAGGATTCGTAACTGTCTGAAGAAGGTGAAGCAGCTCGTTTCGACCCGTTCGAGTTTCGTCTCGTCTCTGTTCGGACGCGGGAAAGGAACGGAATTTGTATCTCCCGCCGTTGAGACCAGCGAGTCCTCAAAGGGGCAGGCTTCGCCGGAATCCGTTGGAGCGGAGACGCAGCGTTTCAGCTTTGATTTTGTTCCAGCTGGCGAGGCCGAGGGGTTTTCGTCACCGTCGGGATGCGACGTCGTCGGAAGTGATGCGTCCGATTATATTCCCGCTTCTGGTTCAAGTTCGGCCGCCGACGTTGATCCCGCCACGTTGTCGCTGCCGTTGGCGAGTCTTTTCTTCTTTGACGACATGAACTCGCCGTCTGACGTGGAGAGTCCCCGAGGAGGCGGGACGGAAAAGACGGTTCGTTTCACGGTCGCCGCTCCAAAATGGACCGGAGAATCCGCGAAGCTTGGGCCCGAGTTCCCTCCCTCGAGGAAGAGACACGTCATGGTCGATGAGCAAGATCGCAAGGTGGAGCAGCGAGCCTGGGAAAGCGGCGCCCGGATAGAGGAGGAAACAGAGTTCTTCAGGTACTACCTTAACAAGGTTTACAAGGAGCCAGAGGCTATGATGGCGGTATTAGAGAAAAAGAATAACAATTCTTTTTCCTTTTTTCTGTTCCTATTCTTTAGCCCTCTCCTCCTGTACAATCTCTCCACTCTGTACACTACCCTTAGTTCTCTCAACAAACTCCCCTGTAACAGTGTATAAAACAAAACTGAATACAATGAAGCAAATCACGTCTGTTTGCATCAAGATCTTTTCTCTCCAAAATTCTCTCCTTCCTAACATGGTATCAGAGCTAGCAAAGATCAGCTAGTTACATGGTTGTCAAACCGGTTTCATGCCGGCCGGTTCAACCGGGTTCAACCGGTACCGGTCAGCAAACCGGCTGGAAAGGGGCCGGTATTTAACTGTGGTCAAATCCGGTCAATACCGGTCAGATTCGGTCAAATCCGGAAATTCCGGCCGGTTAGACCAGAAACCGAAATTTAATGTTACACACATTATATCCAAAAATAAACATCTTCCATAGGATTTGAACCAAGGACCTCTTGTTCATTTTAGTTTAACTTATACACCAGTAGGCTACAAGCAATTTTGTTGTCTATATTAACCTTATATGTTATATATCTAATACTAAATTTTACACAAATCATTATAAACATTAATAAAATTTATTTAATAAATTTTATTTTTAAGTATCTAATTGTTTAGTATTAGTTACCAATTCTTAGCTATAAATTATTTTGTGTGAAATCATTCTTCTAATTGCTTTTTTATGACTAATTTATTTGGAATTGAGGATTTCCATTTTCCTCATGTATTTTATTAAAACCGGCACAACCGGCATGAATACTGGTTGTACCACGGTCAGACCATTCCACTTACAAAACCGGCACACCGGCATAAACCGGTTTGACAACCTTGGCTAGTTACGATCCAATACCTGCTTTCTTTTTTTTTCTCTCGGCACTCTGCAATCTCTCTTCTCCTCCGCTCATCATGTCTGGCGGCTCTTCAATCACCAACTCTGCTACCTCTGCCGAGGCTCCAGTCATTGTGACCTTCAATCCAGCGGCCCAACTCCCATTAAAACTTACCTCGTCCAACTTCGCCTCTTGGCGCTCCCAGCTCGAGACTCTGCTTCTCGGGCTTGATCTCTATGGCTTCATTGACGGCACTAAGCCCTGTCCTGCTCGTTCAATCGCAGTTGATGGTACAGACACACCAAATCCTGAATATCAGCACTGGTTCCGTCAGGACAAGCTGATTCTCCATGCCTTGCGTTGCTCAATTTCGGAGTCAATTTACTCCTTTGTTTCGGGTGCCTCTACGTCGCGTGCCGCCTGGTTAATTCTCGAGAAACTTTATGCTAGCAGCGCCCAATCTCGGGTTATCTATTTGAATAGTAAGCTGGCCAAAACTGTCAAGGGGGATCGTGATATACTGTCCTTCATGAATGATTTGCGCAGCACAGCAGCGGAGCTTGCCCTCATCGGTGCGCCAGTCTCCGATATAGATCTCATTGTTTATTGCCTTCGGGGATTGGGTGAGGAGTATGGCGCCTTTGCTGCTGCTATCCGTGCGCGGGGACCTGGTCTTGGTTTGGAAGACCTGGTGGATTCTTTGGTCGAATATGAATCCGACCTGAAGGCACAAGTCCGATCGTCTGTTCCTACAGCCTTTTTCACCCACGGGCAGAGACACGGCGGCGGCAATCCCTCTTTCAGCCGCTCTCATTCCCAGCGTAATTCCCCTTCTCAGCGGGCCTCATCACAACGGGCCCATGATGACTCCTCTCGGGCCCAGGGATTCCAGGCCCATGATGACTCCTCTCGGGCCCAGGGATTCCATGCTCCTGGGCTGTCTTCGGCCTCCACACATCAGCAACGCAAGCCTCCGGCCATTATTTGTCAATACTGTGACCGCCCGGGCCACTCGGTGCGGCAATGCTTCCGTTTATTTCCCCAGGCCCGCCAGGCCTACCAAG